GTAATGTTTTTCGCAATATGCTAATTAATATTTACGATGATTGAAAAAATGAATCCACAAATTTCCAGAATTTCTTTAAATACCATACATTTCTGTTATTTATTGCTCAATTTTATGTTTTAAACTAAACGTATTGTACACGCAATTATTTGTTCGCAAATTCGCCATTTTTTCCGCAATGTTTTTCAGCAATTAATTTATAATAATTGAAAAAATGGATATTAAATTTTTCAAAATTTCTTTAAATCAATCCATTTCTTTAATTCTATTTTCGTCTATTTTAAACTAAACTTATTTCCCACATAATTACAATTTTTTGCAATTTTTCCACAATTTTTTCCCCAATGTGATGATGGTAGTAATTAATTTATAGTGATTGAAAAAGAAATGGGTATTCAATTTTGGGAGGAAGTTTTCTCCTTAATTTTTCATTCCGCCCGACAATAACAATTTCCTTGATCGATAAATCGACAAAAGAAAAGAAAACTTTTCGACTTATTGTCCTCTCCTCCGTTTTTATAAATGTTTCCATTCAATTTGTAAAAAAAAACTTTACCCCTCAAAGTTTGGAAAAGTTTGGAAAATTTGTTTTCAATTTGTTCTTCTCCTCGATTTGAATATTCTTCTTCTTGGGGGAATATTTACATGGAAAAATTTCCATGCATTTTCTTCTTTTTCAAGCGTTTTACTTTACTGCGATCGATTTGTCCATAAGTTTGGGAGAACAGTGTTTATTGCGGGTTTGCCACATTTCTTTCATTGCACTGGAAAGGAGGAAATGCAAGAAACTGGGAGAAAGTGCACGAAATACGCGTCATTTATCCACGCGCCGTATAAAGCATTTCTAGCCGCGTGGCGTCGTTTTTTGCGCCTTGCATTTCTCCCAGGTCGAAATATTGACCTGCAAGAAACCACTTTCTCCCCCTTATTTCTTGCACGTGGGTTTTTTTCATAGCAAACACTGCCAATAAATACCTGCAATAAACGACTTTTTCCCCTTATTTCTTGCAATTTTGTATCCGAAACACTGGTCAAGAACGTTCTGTTTTGGGGTATCCACACGTACGTAAAGTAAATAAGAGATACTTTCCTTAGTTAGTGGTTTTTGTAGATCGAAAGGTCATGTCACAGGTCATACCGGTAAATTTCCATGTATTTTTTAAATCTAATAATTCCGATCGATTTCTCCACAAGAAAGTCTCGAACACGATTAGAAGAACCTTTTTTAAATTCTGCTTTCGGGTATGTATCGACCCGTAAAGTAAATAAGCAGAACTTGGTTTTTAGCGGACTTATTTCTTCCTAAGGTCAGATCATAGGTCATAATAACGGCAAAATTTCCATGAATTTTTTAAACCCAATTATTCCGATCGATTTCTCCACAGGACAAAAACCTTGGTTAATTCTGTTTTCAGTTAATAAAATAATGAAAGAAGGGGACTTTGTAGATCGAAAGGTCATGTCATAGGTCACATTGTCACCTTGCCTGATGATGATGTTGTTTACATGACCTTTTTCCGTCGTTTTTAACCTGGTCGTCGTAAGTCCGTCATCAATATCAATTTGTCAAGTGGGGAGAGTGACACATTACATCGTAATCGGCATCATCATCATTCAAGGATAATATATCGTCCTTCTTTCTACACAAAAAATTTATCACTGCGCCACACCAGTGGCCGCGGAAGGTGGGTGGGGACATTATTAGCAGTGAAGGATTGGTGGGACGAATTGACACTGGCAAGATCCGAATTTCCGGGGAGTAATGTCCCCCTCCTTCCGCCGCCAATGGCCTGTCTAATAGCGCATTCATGTGTGTACTACTTGTCCCAAATGTCATCGAGTGACTAATCCCATTTTTTTGAATAGACCAGACCAGACAAATAATATTTATTTATTGGACAAGACACGGAATGAGGGAGTGGATTAAAAAAAAGTGGCATTATTTATTTCATTAACGCAAAAAACCCCGATGCTTTCATTTCAAGCCATATAATCAGAGGGCGGATATGCATTTATATATGTTCAACTTTCTCCTTTGATTGGGTCAAATTCTGTGGGTGTATTCCGTAGCTCGTATTGAGCACAATAATTTCAAAATATTTTAAAAAATTGGATAATATTTTTAGGTTTTCAGACATGTATTAATATTTCCGCTATTATTTCAAAAATGCGAAAATCTTTCTTATATTTTCAAAAATATGTGTGTATTTCGTAAATATTTCAACGAGTGTGAGTGTAACGAAAAGTTTTTGCTTAAAGAAACTAGACTACAGAAAATTCAGAGAATTAGATACATTAAAAAATTGAAGTTTTGCGAAATTTCTTATTTTTGAGTGTACATATTTCGTACATATTTTTGCATTTTTTCCCCTAAATATTAAATACATACATAATTCAGCTATTTACCATAAATAACTACATAACCAGCCTCTGTTCTGTTCTGCCTGTAATAAATGTCGGGTGAATTCGCATCTTCTTTCTCCCATCACTCATCTCCCGAAATCTATCGCTTGCCTACCCGCCCGCCCGCCTGTCTACTTTTTCTCCTGCCCGAGAATAATACAGACATTTATGCATGGACGAGCTCCACCTAAAAAAAAGCTCCGTTTAACTTGTCTTCTCTTCTTCTTCCTTCCGTCCGTCCTTCGTCTGGCTGGTGGAGACCAGGCGCCGCGGAAGCGTGAGTGGGGACAGAGGGACAATGTCCTCACCGTTGTTCGATGTCCGCATATCTCCCCATCTTATAAATCCCTAATTCCGCTATCCTACAGTGTTAATGTCCTTAGATGTCCCCATGGCTTCCGCGGACAATGATTCCTCCTTCTTTTATATATTAGAAAAGTCATCTTCCCACTGGCCGCGGAAGGGTGTGTGAACAGAGGGGCAATGTCCCCACGGTTGTTCGATGTCCCCATCTTATATAAGCCCGTACCTCCCCTCCATCTACAATGTTAATGTCCCCACGGCTTCTGAGTCCAGCTTCTTCTTTTAGCAAAGTCATCCTCCCCAGTGGCCGAGGACATTGTTCCTCTGTCCCCACAGTTATTCTATCTCCCCATCTTATACAACCCCCACCCCTCCCTCCCCCATCCCACAATCTTAACATCCCCCAATGTCCTCCCCCTCCTTCCGCGGCCGCTCACTTCACTTCCTTCCTTCTCTTCGTCTCACTAACTTTTACTTGTTACCCGGATTACAGTCTGGGCTTAAAAAGTCAACTTTACTACCACTCACTCACTCACTCACCGTCTCCTTTAAACCTTTTAGCTGGGCTTTTTTTATACCCGGGTTTTCCAAGGGTGCTAATTCCATCGGACTCGGAGAGAGGATATTGAATTTAAGGAGCCATTAGTCACGGCTCTCTCTCTCTCAGACAATACTGCCTGCCACCCGGTTTACATATATGCAAATGTGCAAAATCTGGTTTTTTGAGGCACACACACACACAGGAAGCAGGCAGCCCGATTAGATTAAAGAGATGAAAGAAAACGGAGAAAAGTTTCCCGTCACCCGTGGCAGATTTACAATTTACTTATTGACGCTCACTCACACTTTTGATTTTATGATTCCATCCATCCCATTTCGTGTAGGCGTTCTCTTCTCTTTAAAGAAGTGCCGTCCGCCGTGTCGTCAAAGTGGATGGATGTAAATTTGATTCTAGTTTCAAATTAGGGGAAAAAGGTGAACAAATAAAAGTGGCATTTTCGGGGAGATACATAAAAGCGATCAATCAAGCCGTCCATGTGATGATTTTAGAGGCGTTTTCGTGATCCAAATGGATGCTATGATTCGATTGTGCAGTGTTCCATGGCGTTAGGAAAGGTAGATGATTTTAGAGGCGTTTTCAACACAAATGATTCGATTGTTCCATCTCCTCCATCATCCGAAAGAAGGTTTCTGCTAGCTAGCTTTAATTCCAATTAATTAAAGTACATCCGCTTTTTGGTAGGATGATGGGAGAGAGAAGACCCGGAAGTAGACGGAGATGCTTACTTGCGTACTTCCCATCCAATGTGCATACAAAAATACATAGTTCATATTCTTTAATGTAATAATGCATACGGATATTTGGGTGCAATTTGTAGCGAGGAAATTAAAGACGGCAGCAGCAGCCCCGGTGGAAAAATAACTCGTTTCTTTCAAGGTTGCTTTGTAATTGTAATCCGTCCGTGCATGATTCATATTTCATATCAGGCAGCGTCATCTAAAAAATTATTTCATGCAATGTACGTATGAATTTGAGGTGCAAGTCCATTCCATGTTTTGTTTTTACATACTTCTTACTTATTCTTACCTCCTCCTGCTCCTGCTGGACTTTGGCATGTGTAAGATTGGAATCGTCTTCTCCTCATCATCCTGTCAAAGTAGTAGTGTTTTTGTCCTGATTTCTTCTTCTTACACAGGAGCAGATTGTTGAGGATGATGATACTTGGAGTTGTACTTGTGTTACTGCTGACTGACTCAAAATTATTTATGAAGGTGACCTCGGGGTGAAGGTCTGAAAAAACGAAAGCACATCAACACCCATCTTACAGACGTTTCACATTCCATGAAATATCTCCTTTACGATGGATGTGGAGCAGTGTATGCGATCCGATTTTGGGCAAACTGGTGTCAATCGATTGGAAATTTGGGTAGTATGAAATTTAGGAAAGACACGATCTCCCAATGGGTATACGTTTGGCACAGATATTTGCATCGGGAGAGGAGAAAATGCGCCTTAAGGTCGACAAATTTTACAGTTTGCAAATTTACTGCGCGTTTTCTCCTCGTCGGATGCAAATATCTCGGCCAAACGTGCCCATTGGGAGATCGTGGCTTTTGCAAATTCGTACTAATTAAATTTGTGATTGATTCGCACAAATTTTCTAAAAATCTGAGGGCATACGCTGTGAGATCTCCGTTCTTAGGATTAGTTAATCTGCTACCTCACAATTCTGCGTAACATGAAATATGCCAATAACTTATGTTCTTATGTTTCACTTTTTATGTATTTTCAGTTTATGGCGTTTGCGTCGAAGTCGTGGAGCGTCGCTGCTCGCCCTCGCCCCAGAAATCCCACTCCCTGGCGTGTCCATTATTAAGCCGCTGCTCGGGGTGGACCCCAACCTGTCCTCTAATCTGGAGACCTTTTTCAATATGAACTATCCAAAGGTGAGCACATGATAAAACCCAATTTAGTAGGAATGAAGACGCACTTGGAAATATTTGCCAATTTTTTTTGCGAAAGAGAAAATGTGCAGAATTATGGATACTTTGAGAAGAAAAATTTGGCCCAAAGTTGATTTTCATGTGAAATGTTCCCTAATTTTATTACGTAAAAAATGACAATAATTCCCAGAATTTTGGCACCAACTCGTTATTGAATTTTATTTTATGATAGAAATTGAATAAAATATATAATCGACACACATAAATTCATAATTTACATATCTCTTTTCTTTATATTTCCAGTATGAAATCCTGTTTTGTGTTCAAGAAGAAACTGACGAAGCAATAAGAGTGGTGGAAGAACTGAGGGCGAAATACCCAAAACAAGACACTGAACTTTTCATCGGTAAGAAAACCATCATATTTAAGACAATAATCCCAAGAAATTAAAACTACCAAAGTTTTCTCCTTGCTATAATTTCAACCAAGAAATAGAGTTGCACTCATCTCGTTAAGGGGCCAATGGATTGGCCTACTTACGACATATCATTAGCTAACTAACTTGTCAAATTGTACGAAATTTGCCCCATTTCGTTGAAAAGGAAACTTTTCCTGGAAAAATGTCACATTTTTGGTCGCAAATTTTTATACGTAGCAAAAATGGGACATGTTTTTATTCTACGAGCTATATCACCACGCAAAATGCTTGATTTTCACAAAGTCAGCCCTCGTCATTACGCCATTTTAACGAAATTTGCCACATTTTACAAAATTTTTACTAACATTTTTGCTCCCAAATTTTTAAAATGGGACATGTTTTTATTTCGTAAGGTGTTTCACCACGCAAAATAACACTCAAAAATTCTTCCCAAGAAGCCCTGACCATTGTGCAATTTTAACCAATTTTTTTTACCCCATTTCACACAACTTTTGCTCGAAAATTTTCATACCCAGCAAAAATGGGACATGTTTTTGTTTTTATTTCGCAAACTATTTCGCCACGAAAAAATAGCACGAACCCTCAACCATTAAAATGCCCTTGCCATTACATCTAAAACCAACGAAACCGCAACTCCAGTCCAGTCGTTATTATCAAGTTTTCCAAGTCCGCATAAATATAAATATTACCATAACTCGTAAGCCAAAGCCATCAAAAGTCTGTCCTCGTCACATGCAATGCAATACAACCTCAGTCAGCCATCATGATCCCACATACGACGCAATGGCCGCGGAAGCTTGTCCCCATCATCTTATACAAACCCCTTCCTTCTCCTCTATCCCGCAATCTTTACGTCCCCACAACTTCCGCGGCCAATGCATTGTCGTGTCATGTCTCTCATTATTATTACCACACTTTCACTACCAGTCAAAATTTCCTCCTGAAAAGTCCTCCTCCTTGTGCTGTGTACATATTGCCAAAAATTTCGCATTCTGAGATATTATACTTGGTAAATAATAACATGGCGTGTGTGTGATTTGCACGTAAATTGAATCGTGTCTCCCTCCTTGCAGGAAAAGTTAGGAGAAAACCCGTATAAAATAAAATTTGGGCCATATTGACAAAAAGACGTTAAGGCACGATACACACACACGCCACGGGAGGATTAAGTGGAGGATCATGCCTCCCACTTTTGGCCATCGCATAATTGGCGAATTATTGATAGGTACACGAAATAAAGGACCAAGGACGTAGAACGACGAGTGTCGTGTCGTCATAATAATGAATTCATAGCCACGATCAAAACCAGGGCGACATGACTTTCTCTCCCCCTCGTGTAGACCGCTTACTTTCTGCATGTTTGGTGAACATGGGTGGGCAAAATACTTGGGGAAATTCACGCCAGCCTTCGTAACTCCGTAGACATGAAAAGTTATGAAAATTTCTACGGAAATTTTTGCTTATGAAACTTATTTACAAAACCGTATTTATGAAGATGAAACGCATGTTTTTTTTCGCGTAACTCCGAAAACGCGAAAATTTATGGAAATTTCGATGGAAATTTTTTGCTTATGAAACTTATTTACAAAACCGTATTTATGAAGGTGAAACGCATGTTCTTTTTTTGGTTTATAAGCTGATCTTCGTAAGTTTACGATGTTACGATGGTTGACGTGAAATGTGTCAGTATTTTGCGCTCTCTGTTCTTTTACCCAAGGTTTGAATTTCTAGGGCTGTTACACCCACAAAAAGACGAAAATCTACGTCGAAAAGACAGCAGTCAGTCAAATTCATAGGTTTTGTGAAGAAATTAATTTTTTATCGCTGAAAAAATACATTGTTTTCAAGATTTCCTAAAAATAGAGGATTTTGACAGCTATGAAAAGTTAATTTCTTCACAAAATATGTATTTTCGTGTTACTGCTGTCTTCTACACATAAATTTTCATCTTTTTGTGGGTGTAACACCCCTGGAAATGCAAACCCTGGGAAGACCAGAGATCAAAATAGTGTACATTTTTCCAAAGTATTTTGCCCACCCATGTTTATTTAATATTTACCACGCTGTCATATCTATCATGCAGTGGTGGTTGCTGGAAAAAGTTTGAAAATTCCAAAATAATCATAACTCTATAGTTCTCTCGCTGACTTTGGCTTTGCGGAGACGAGGAGAGAGTTGGTATGTAGTTAGGCAATTTGTTTGTGGTTTGGTCTCCTGATCTGATTTTGGCATAGTTCTCTCCTCCTCCTCGTTCTCAGAAGAAGTGTACTATGTCAAATTTAAACCCAGCCAGCCACCCAGCCAACTAAACTGTCTATCGGATCTGCCAGGGGCGGCGGAGACGTGTCCCCACCACAGAAATGTATGGCATCCAACGCTATTAACGTAGGGCTCCATCATCAAAATCAATACAATTCTAATCATTTCTCGCCTCTGGGAACTTATTTTAAAATTCTGGGGGACAAATTCGTAGTCAGTGAGTTGATTAATGGAATGGCGTTGAGTTTTTTAACCAGTTTCGACAAGTTCCAATTTTTCTGAAGGCTTCCTAAACTTGAGATCTCCTCCTTCAAAAAGTGTCAAAATCTGGAGTGTATATTTTTAAATAATTGACAACTCCCTGCTCTACAAATTTGTCGGTCAGAATTTTAAAATAAATTCCCAGAGCGGAGAAATGATTTAAAATGTGCGGATTTTGACCATTCTCTTGTGCACACATTCTTTCTCCGCGGCGCCTGTTTTCCTCTGATCACATCTCGTATCCTATCCTACTCGTTGGTCGATTTGATTTCAAAGTCTGACTTTTTCTCTCCTTTTCTTTTCACAGGAGGGATGCGAGTTGGAATAAATCCAAAAATCAACAACATGCAACCTGCCTATTTGGCTGCCAAGTATGAACTCATCCTCGTGTCTGACAGTGGAATTCGAAGTATGTTACCCACCACCAACACTCATATCAACAGTGGCCGCGGAAGCCGTGGGGACATCGGGGGAGGGATGGGATTATATAACATGTGAAGATCATAAATCGGGACATAGAACAACCTTGGGAACATTGTCCCCACGCTTCCGCAGCCACTTTTGAGAACCGCAGACCTATGAAATTGTGAAAACCAGTGGCCGCGGAAGCTGTGGGGACGTCTGGGGACATTGCCATTGTAGGATAGGGAAGGGACGGGTCTATATAACGTGGGAAGATGATAAAAATAGGGACCGTGGGAACATTAATTGCCCCCTGTCCCCCCACCCTTCCGCGGCCACTGCACATTCATACATGTCTCTTTCCCATCGGCACACCTGGCCACGGAAATAATTAAACTCTGACTTATTCCTCCTCCCCTAGTGAAAGAAGACACACTGCTGGACATGGTGAGCTTTATGGATGACAAAACCGGCCTTGTGCACCAAATGCCTTTCGTCTGTGACAGATCTGGCTTCCCCTCCATTGTCGAAAAGGTAATTAAATCAAAATAAAAAATAGAACCCAATCCGGCACAAGGCCCAACTTTCGCTCGGAAATATAATCATATAATTGAACAAAAGAAGCGTCGTCACTCGTTCACTCGTCACCTGGGCGCAGATTAATGGAATAGTTTTATTAAAAAAATATCCATCCTTCGTCATCATCATTGCCACGTCTTTCTCGGGGAAAGTATTAGTTTGCGAGGAGAGAAGAGAGGAAAAACTTTCTTTATTCTGCGACTGAATGGGAGAGAGAGAAAGTTGATCCAGGACGGTGGAAGGAGGACGAGGGCATACTTTTTTTCTCCTAGGTTTTTTTTCTCTTCTTCCATTTCTCTCAATTTGCTCGAGACTATTGATGATGGGATATGGTCGTCGTGAGACAGTGGGAATGGAAGAGGTGGACCAGCGTGTGCGGATACGATTTTGAGCAAAATCATGATGATTTATGAAGGTCCTGCTCTCCGATTTTGACCGAATTAGTGTGAATTAATGACAAATTTGATTAGGATGAAATTTGCGAAAGAGACGATCTCCCAATGGGCATGTTTGGCCGAGATATTTGCATCCCAAGAGAAGAAAACGTGCAGTAAATGAGGAAAGTGTAAAATTTGTTGACTTTAAGGTGCGTTTTCTCCTCTTGGGATGCAAATATCTCGGCCAAACGTGCCCATTCGGAGATCGTGTCTTTCGCAAATTTCATACCAATCAATTGACACTAGTTTTTTGCACAAAATCGGATCCGCACACGCCGGTCCACCTCCTTGATTCCGAGCTGTCCTCATTTTTCCCTTTCGACCAGCCAGCCAGCTGGTTGAAGTGAGTGAGTAATTGTACGGATTCAAATTCAAGGTTCCTCTCCTCTTATTATCAGGGATGGGCAATCCCAACAATTTCGATGGATTACGGATTACAGATTAATTAATTTAAAAATTTACATGGGATTACTGGATTGGGATTACTTCGTTCCTGAAATAATGTGGATTACTTGTTGGATTACTGGGATAAATTAATGACGTGGATTACGGATTACGGATTACAGTAATCAGATTACGGATTATTATCGGAATTACAAAAATCAATATTTATGTATTAAGGGGTGAAGAGAAGCGAAATCCCTTTATGGAAAAGTGTTGTCCGCCGGTCTGTATCCACAATAACTTTAGAACGGTTTCGAATTTCAACATGCAGTTTTCGCCAACGGGTTTCTAATTTTTGAGGTATGGATGAGTGAGTAAATGGGAATTGTAGGTCACGGCGCCAGGTGAAGACGCCACGGGTCAAACTTGTCGAATTTTTTGTTTTGGACATAGTTTCGGGCGAGGGTACAAAAATCTTCATAGTTTTGACGTGACATGACCGAGTGACCGTGTCGACGACGCCAAACTTGAAAATGTCGAGTTTTTGTCTTGATACTTTTAGACGTAGTTTTAGGCGGGAATTTCAAAAATTAAATCTAGACATAGTTTTGGCATGCCATGACCGCATGACTGTCTCACTCCACCCCTTTGCTACATTTCGTTTGCAACGGTTTATTCTGAATAGCGTCACTTAATTTCATGATGATGATTAGCTCAAAAAACAAGAGCTTTGAATGATTCATCCGACAGTCGGTTTCTTAGGGCAGACAACAATGTATTGTAGTAAATAGACCCCTCTTAATTGTTCCAAAATTCTCTTTACTTTGCACCTCTGCTGAAGAATCCAGAAGGTGGTTTCAGCATTCAAGTTCAGCAAGTGACTCAGACTCTGGAGAAGTTGCAAGATGGAGCTGTCATGCGGTTGACAGGAGCAAAGTAATCCAACAAAGTAATCCGTAATCTGATTGCATTTTCCAATCTCGTAAATTGGGGATTACGGATTACACATAATTCCAAGACCTAGCTAGGATTACGGACTACGGATTACTTTAAACTGTGAATTTTTCGTGGATTACTGGATTACGGATTACATTCAATGTAATCTGATTACTTAATCTGATTAAAGTAATCCTGGGATTGCCCATCCCTGCTTATTATGTCGTGTCGACTTGACTTGAGAGACCAGTCGTCGTCGTCCGCCCAGCGCTTCGCCTTCCTTCCTTCCTTCCTTCATCACCATCATTATGCAGAGAAGCCGTACTCACATAATATTATACGCAGCCGGATGACTTACATAATGGGGCTAGTTTTCTTTACCAATGTTGCCTTGAGAAAGGGAGATCCAGATTCTATACGTATTTTTAGTTAAGGCCAACCATGGCATATTATTCCCACTTTTGGAAGACCAAGAAGACATGCATCCTGTTGTGTGATCACTTTGGCAAAAATATGGCCAAAGTAGGCCAGCCAGGCCGGCCTGTCATGTCACGTTAACGTCGCCCTGCTTCCTTTCTTTCGGATAGCTTTTTTTCCCAACTTTGTGGGTGGGCACAATGCAGATTTATGGGATGAATGGATGCAGGCATCAGGTGCTCCCTAATCGGACCGTGTTTTTTAAGAAGAAAAAGTAGGAGTGGGTAGATAGATTCCGAAGAAAGCATCACACCTCACGCCGAGAGGCTAGGAAGTCAAGGGAGGTAGCTTACTAATCCAAATTGGGTAGATAGACGGACAACCATGACGACTACATAAGCCCTGGCTCGGGCTAAAAACCATAAGGAATTGATAAAATCTAGAGAAAGCAGCACACCTCGTGCCAAGAGGGCTGTCAAGTAAGAGAACTATCGATAGGCAGACATACAACCATGACAGGTACATAAGCCCTGACTCAAGCTAGGAATTGATAAATCCCTCAAAATTGAGCGAAAGCACACCTCCTGCCTAGAGCAGGGTGGTCAAGTAAGGTAGCTTACTAAGTGGACATACAGACAGACAGACATCCACGACTTGTACATAAGCCCTGTCTCGGGCCTAAAACCCAGTAGGAATTGATAAATCCCTCAAAATTGAGTGAAAGCACACCTCGTGCCGAGAGGATGGAGGTCAAGTAGGCTTGCTTACTCATCCCAATCTAATTTGTTGAGTGGTCTGGTGGTGTGGTGTGACTGGACGAGACGCACGACACATACCGTCGTCCACTGGGTCAATAAAGTCGTTAAAAAAGAAGTAGGAATCATGATGAAAAGTGGTCGTCTCGTCGTGTGGGCTTTGTTTCGTGTGCAGGTGTTTCTGTTTCGTTCGTGGTTTGGTTTTAACGAAGTCCTGTCAGCGAGTGGAGAGGTGTCGACCCCTCATTGACATCCTGTCCCCTTGTCTCCTACTTGACGCCCTTCAGTGTCCAACTACTTGACCAAGGATACGGCTGCTTTCTTTTTTTTTCAAGGTGTCCCCCTCCGTTTATGGACACAGAACAGTTCAGTGTTTGCTACTTTTTTGGACTGGGAAACGAGAAATGCTGGGTGCAAGAAAGTGGGAGAAAGTGTGAGAAATATGTGTCATCTAGCCACGCACAGTATGAAGTATTTACCGCGGCGGGAAGGAGTTTCTTGCAGTTTGAATTTCTCCCAGGTCAAAATAGCTGCAAGAAATCCCTTTTTTATCGGTCAATATTTCGTTTCTTACGGGTTTACAACATTTCATGCACTGAAAAAAATCAACGTGAGGTGCAAGAAACTGGGGCAAAGTGCATGAAATATGTGTGCTCTAGCCACGCGCTGTATGCCATATTTACGGCGGCGGGGCGTCGTATCTCCCACCGTGCATTTCTCCCAGGTCAAAATATTAATCTACAAAAAAACCACTTTCTCCCCCTTATTTCTTGCAAGTGGTGGTCTTACTTTCACCGGAAGCACTGGAGGTATTGTGTTGCGGTGACCTTCTCGAATATCGGATTACCATCAGGCCACACTTATTTACACACTTACTTATTATCGACTCCTTTATGGATTTTGTGCCCCTTGTCTCGAGCCAATCAATCAATGTGTATGTATCAATCATGAAATTGACATGGGGCCGCACTCGTCAAGAGAAAGATCAATACGGTCGTGAGGACGGTCGTAAGCAAGCAGAGTAAATAAGTCAGGAGGACTAAAGTGGAGTATTGGATTTGGCCCAAATTTCCAGTATGTCCGGTGAAAGGAAATAACCACTTGCAAGAAATAAGTGGTTTCTTGCAGGAGAATATTTTGACCTGGGAGAAATGCAAGGTGCACGAAACTACGCCCCACCGCGGTAAATAGTTCATACAGAGCGGGGCCAGATGGCGATTATTTTTTTGCACTTAATATTAATAATAATTTATTCAATGAATAATTCTTACAAGGCTCATGGTCCATATTTTTTGCACTTTCTGTGGCGCTTATTTCTTGCACTTTCTCCCAGTTTCTTGCACCTGTTAATTTTCAGTGCAAGAAATGTAGCAAACCTGCAGTAAAGTAGTTTCTTGTAGCTATTTTTACCTGCAAGAAATGCACGATGTAACATACTACTTCCGGTCGCTATATTTCATACTGCACGTGGCTAAATGGCACACATTTCTCCCACTTTCTTGCACCTCGCATTTCTTGCACTTTCTCCCTTTCCACTGCAAGAAACGCAACCACTCCAATTATCCATCCATCGACTCATCCATATATTGACATTGAATTTCCCTCTATGCGGTCTGTCCGTGGTGTGGTCTTGCTCCATTATTAAGAATGGTCTCCTAATTCAGTGAAATGGTTCCACTCCACTTCCGCCTCTCTCTCTGATTCAACTTTCTCTTCTTCTCTTAATTCATTCCACGCTCTAATGATTAATTAAGTGGAAGAAGAAGAGAGAGAGAGAGGGAATTTTGCACAAGATGGTAAAATTGCTTTGTGGTGTGGTCTGGAGGCACGAGGGACGCAATTAATTCGCCCATATCTCATTTCCCAAAGGCAATTTGAGATCGAATGCATCCATCCATCCATCCGCGAGTCGTGGTGGCCGCGGAGGAGGCGTCGTCTAAGCAGACTATGGCTGCCTAATTATAATTCCTCTGTCTCTGTCAGGACGCAATTAAGCCCTGCTTTCTCCTTCTTCCTTCTTCTTGCTGGAGCAAAGTACTTCACTACCGCTCAGTGGCCGCGGAAGGGTGAGGGGGACAGGGGGACAATGTCCTCAGGGTTGTTTGATATTCCATCTTGTATAAACCCCGACTTTCTCTATCCTATAATTTTAGTATGCTCAGATGTCCCCACGGCTTCCGCGGTGACTGAGTCGTCCTTATTCTTTTAGTAATCTCCCCATGTTGTATAAACCCGTCCCTTCCCCTACCTTACAATGTTAATGTCCCCAGATGTCTCCACAGCTTCCGCGGCCACTGAATCGTCCTTCTTCTTTTAGCAAAGTCGTCCCCCGTGGCCGCGAACAGAGGGACAATGTCCCCCCACAGTTATTCATTGTCCCCATCATCTTATATAAACCCGTCCCTCTCCATATCCTACAATGTTAACGTCCCCCCTCTGTCCCCCCGGCTTCCGCGGCCCCTGCATCCTTCTCTCTCCTCTCCTCCCTGTCAGATTTGTTCATGGTCCGGACAGCCCCATATTTCAAGTGGGCGAGTAAAACTTTGCCGAAAAGTGAGACAAAGGCGGCCGCGAGAGAAATCCAATTCAATAATGCGGACAATATTATTAATCATTAATTCTAACAAGGGAACATACCGAGGTGTCCAACGAGTTAAGGGTCGACACCTATACCAAAATGACCACAGTACATGACTTATTAAACAAACTGAAGGAATTTCCGTGTAAAATTCACTTTTCGTCAAGTTGTGACGATATTTGTGACGAGCGCATGACGATCGGGTTGCCAGAGAGGGAGAGGTCGGCCGCTGAACGATCAGGTCAACCACAGAGAAGCGTCTTCTTCTTCAGAGATTTCAAATTCTTTCAAATTTTGAAAACATCTTGAAATTTTGAAAAAATTTTGAGAAAATTTAGAAATTTTTAGAAAATTTGAGAAAATTTGAGAAAATTTTGAAATTTTGAAAAAATTTTGAGAAAATTTAGCAATTTTTAGAAAATTTGAGAAAATTTGAGAAAATTTTGAAATTTTGAGAAAATTTTGAAATTTTGAAGAAATTTTTGAAATTTTGAAGAAATTTCAAATTTTTTTCAAAATTTCAAGTGGTTTTCAAAATTTGATATAATTTGAAATCTCTGAAGACGACGTGAAGACGACGACGCATCTTTGTGGTCGACCTGATCCTTCAGCGGCCGACCTCTCCCGCTGGCAACCGGATGGTCATGCGCTCGTCACAAATATCGTCACAACTTGACGAAAAGTGAATTTTACACGGAAATTCCTTCAGTTTGTTTAATAAGTCATGTACTGTGGTCATTTTGGTATAGGTGTCGACCCTTAACTCGTTGGACACCTCGGTATGTTTCCTTGTAAGTCGAATTAATTAATGGTTCCGAAATCATGTCAAGCAGTCAAGCACTATTTGTTCCTGACAGCCACAGAAGAATTTCTGAGCTAAAGAAATTCCCTCTTGAGAGGTTGTCCACCTCGCGTTTCGGCGGTGGTGGAGACCTCATTAGCAATTTTACAATCGTCCTTTACATCAGCAAAGAAAGTTGGTGGACGGCGGGTAATTGGGGACAGGAAGTAAAACTGCATATCCGCGTGTTCGTTGGTAGTCTTGCTGTGTGGAGAAAGAAAACCGAAATGAGGGTCGTTTTCGGACTTATTCACTTAGAATTGTATTTACCCGAGTAGAAAGAAACCACTGTCTCGAATTTTGCAGTAAATGGACAAAAGCTTGATGCATATTGTGTTATGCAGAATTTTTGCTCAAAATTTCTATCCGTTTTATTTCGCAAAACTGTATGTGCACATTTCTGCACAAAAATTAGCTCTGAATATACAGTTTTTTTCTGGAGAAACTGGAAACAAATTTCTGCACAAAACGGTATGTGCATAATTCTGCCTTGTTTTTTTTTACAAAAATCGCTTTCTGGAGAAAATTTGGCCAAATTTCGGCACAAAATCGGGCCAAATTTCTTCAGGAGAACGAAAACTTACATAAAATGAATGAAAATAAATAGAATTTTGGTCATTTTCGGGGGGTTTGTGTGGGGGACAAACATGGCAAATTCCTCCACATGAGCAACATCTCTTTCTCCACTCACAAATTAGCAAAATGGAAAAATAAACCACGAAAAGTATGTAGCAAACTCGATTGAATTTCAAATGCTACATTTTTTTTCCTCCAAAGAAGCCAAACCTGCCTTTGAAATCTGCTCCGTCTACTCAAAATATATTATCTTGATGAATTCATGATTCGATTGTGTGTAGTTTTTTTGCGAGGATAAAGTGATGGATTTTCTTCCTTTGCCATTCCCTGCTTATTACTTATGCTAGTCTGCTTATGTGCTTTTGTGTGTGTGCTAGTTGGTCGGAGGTGTCGGTCACTTCCTTCCTTCCGGTTGAGAGGAGATGGATTGAATTTCACTTCTGTCTGTCCGTCCGCATAGAAATCAAGCTCCTCCCTCCTCCGAAGGAACCAGGGTTCCCTTTCTGACGGGTTTGCGAAATACATTTCTTGCACTGGTAAAAAATGCAAGAAATGCAAAGTGTGAGAAAGTGCAAAAAATTTGCGCCATCTAAAAATGCGCGCCTTGTGAAGTATAGCGGCGTGGCGTATTTTCCTTGCGCCGTGCATTTCTTGCAGGTCAAAATAAATACCTGCAAGAAACCACTTTCTCCCCGTCATTTTTTGCAATTGTATACTTGTAAATGTCTGGTTTATTGCGGGGTTGCTGGATTTCTTGCACTGCGAAACAATCCACGCAAGAAATGCAAGATGCAAAAACTGCAAGAAATGCGAGGTGCAAAACCTGCAAGAAATACAAGGTGAAAGAAATGGAACGTGCACGAAACTGCTAGAAATTTGCGCTATCTAACCACACGCCGTACGAACTATATCGGGGGGACGGAGTTTCTTGCGCCTTACATTTCCCCCAGGTCAAAATATATCCCTACAAAAAAACCCACTTTCTCCCCGTTATTTCCGGCACCCTGTTCCTCTCCTGCAGTCGGCGATGCACGAGAAGTTAAAACAGTGCAAATAACTTTCTCCATCCGCTCCACTTTGTTTCTTCTTTCATCTTCGCAGCCTCTCTCTCTCTCTCTCTTTGATTCCCGAGGTGGAATTTTAGACCCAAAGTTTCTTCACCTTGGCTCATTTCCTCCTCTCCATCTCATCATCCATCTCACTCTTCCTCCTCCCTGCCTGCCTCGCTCCCTCCTCGTTACGGGACGTGGAAGGAATGGTAATTTTCACAATATTGTGAGAAGAACCCGACGGGCGAGAAAGTCCTCATTATGAGACAAAGTACTTTCTCTCACCAACCAAGCAGGAAAGTTGTGGCATCCAAATAAATGCTATTTACTGCTTAGTATCTTCCCCAAATTGGACATTGACACAGACTTTTGCACCACCAACTTTAGCTCGCCAATGTTTGACAAAGGAATGTTGTTTCGACCTCCAAAATTCGCGAAAAGGGCGTCGGAAAGGTCAAAATTCTGTACAAATTAGCGTCGTAGAGGTCAAAATTGGACAAAAATTAGCGCTTTAGAGGTAACAATTGACGAAAAGTTCTACACAAATTGGCGTCTTAAAATTGGACAAAAATTTCATAAAATTAGAGTCAACATTCACGAGAAAGTCCTCAAGTTTCCGCATAAATTAACGAAAAATTCGAGAGAAATTCCACAAAAATTAGCGGTTTATTAGGGGTGAAAATTAACGCAAAATTCCTTAAATTTCCACAAAAATTCGCGCTTTAGGGAGCAGAATTAACGAAAAATTCCAAAAATTAGTCTCTTGCAGGTCGAAATTGGAAAAACTTTCTTCAAAATCCCACAAAAATTAGCCCTTTCAGGTTCAAAATTTACGAAAAATTCCTCTAATTTTCACAAAATTTTGACCTCTAATTTTTGCCCGGCTTAAACACCCCTTTGGGATACCTTTATCATTTGCATACTACACCCAAGTCTGGCCAGATCGTGACGACGAACTCCATTTAAGCATAATTAACTCTTAATTTCCCCTAATTAAACACCATCCTAATTGATCTCTACTTTCTTCTTTTCGCAGGTATACTTTGGCACGTCGCATGCGCGGATCTACTTGGCCGCGGACTGTCTGGGGATCAACTGTCCGACGGGGATGTCTGCCCTCATGCGGAAAAAGTTGTTGGACGACGTAAGTGGATATTTATGTAATTTGCATAATTTTAATTGCCCATGTCCACCACCACAAAGTTCCGTCTCAATTTCAACCACCACCACCCCAAAAGTCTCAACTTTCTCTCCATCTGTGTCAAATTCTGACATATTATGTACAGCCCAAAATTAAACCTCTTAGTAAAACTTTTCGCAATATTTTTAATAGCTTTGAAGTTGCAGAATGTGTAAAAGCGAAGCATTGACGGCGGAAGGAGGGGGACATTGTCTCCCCAGAAATTCAGTAAAATCGTGTCTTGCCCATGTTAAGGTGCTATTGTATGCGGATTTTGTCTTTGAATTAGTGTGTCTCTACTTTCCCTTGTTCCATGTATTCAAATGGGGATTTTGACACGTGAGAACAGATATTTGCGAATAAAATAGATAAAAAATAATAATTAAAAATTTGGTAATGGAAGATTTAAAAAAAATCAAAATTGTAACCTCCTAACTTTGTAAATTTAAAAACTTTTGGATTTTTAACTGAAATGGAATCTTCAATTTAAAAAAAAATTCACGGCGATGGTCAGGTTCAAAAATCGAAGGGAAAGTTGAGACACAAATTTAACTTCAAAACCCGCATGCAATAGCACCTTAATAAGTCTCTCCTCCTCCTCCAATGTTAATGTCCCCCGCGCCCTCCTTCCGCGGGGACTGAGGAGATGAAGTCTAAGCTTTCTGTAAGCTTTATACTTTCGCTTGGAGCTATTTCACAAAGAAATTGAAGAATCCTGCTGTCTTCCACTCTCCTAAATTATTATCCCTTTCATAACAAGGCTTACTTACTCGTAGGCTTTGATGTGCTGTGTTGTGTTGCTTGCTGCGTATGTTTTGCTGAATTTTCTCCTGCTTTCACTTCCTCAAAGTATCGGTTGCGTGTTGAAAGTAGGGCAGGATAATCACGTCATAGAATAATCGTCGTTGATGCCTGCACGACCAGAGAAAGTCGTCCTGGTCGTGGTCGTGGTGGTCAGAGAAAGCGGGGAAAAGTGTAGAATGATGGAAACAGGGTGCAAGAAATGGTGGTTTCTTGCAGCTATTTTGCCCTGGGAGAAATGTAAGGTGCAAGAAACTAAGACCCGCCGCTGTAAATACGGCATACGGCGCGTGGCAAAATTGCAAATCAGCAAGAAATGAAACACTTAAAATGTCGTCAGTGTTTAATTTCTTAGGGATTTGCAACCTTTTTTTGCAATGCAGTGCAAGAAATGCAAGGTGTAAAAAACTGCAAGAAATGCAAGGTGCAAGAAACTGCTAAGTCAGTAACCATATGCACGAAATAACTGCAAGAAATTGGTTTCTTGCAGCTATTTTCACCTGCAAGAAATGCAAGGCGCAAGAAACTCGTTCACATCCCTGTACTTCTTACTACGCTTACTAAATGGCGCACATTTCCTGCACTTTCTCCCAGTTTCTTGCACCTCGCATTTCTCCCATTGCTTCCTTTCCACTGCAAGAAATGTACCAAACCCGAAACCCTGTCTGTTCAGAGAGTGGGAATGCCTCTGGGAAAAAGTGATGCACGAGGGACACACGTCTCGCACTTTTACCTGGAATTATGATGAGAGCCCGAGAGCTCAAGGAAGTCAGGGGGGAGTGCAAAATTGAATTAATAAACACGTCCTGTCTGCTTCTTCTTCGTGTTCTTTAAGAAATTTGAATATTACGGAGTAATATTCCTACAGAGATGCAAAATATGCATAACTTATTTCTTTTTTTGCCTGCAGGCGGGTGGGATAAAGGAGTTTGGCTGCTATCTCGCGGAGGATTACTTTTTCGCCAAAGCTATAACCAAGATGGGTTGGAAAATCTCCATATCTAGTCAAGTTGCCTGGCAAAATAGTGGCGTCTGTGATATTTCAGCGTTCCAAGCTCGTATCTCAAGGTAATCGACGCCGTATTACTCATTTAATCGCATGACTCGATGATTTATGGTCAAAATCAGGACATTTTTAATCACTTCTCGTCTCGTCTCTGGGAATTTATTTTAAAATTCTGACCGACAAATTTGTAGAGCAGGGGGAGTTGCCAATTTATTAAAAATATACACTCCAGATTTTGACACTTTTTGACGGAGGAGATCTCAAGTTTAAGACGCCTTCAGAAAAATTGGAACTCGTCGATAGTGGCTCAAAAAACTCAGCGCCATTCCATCAATCAACTCACCGACTACAAAGAAGGGTATCTGTTATGGTGATCGTTTTGGGCTAAATTTCGATGAGTTTTGAATTATTTTGCTAAGAAATTAAGGCGATTTTTTGGGCTAATATATCTTATCAAAATTCGTTTGGTTGTCAGTGGTTTTTGATTGGTAAATAGAGCTCAATGATTCTTACCCCGATTTAAGACTTGGGGAACCGTTTTGCCAGTCTGTCTGTTCGTCTGTCTGTTCATTTTCAACTTTGTCAAATGAACCCCGATTAACTGCAAACTTGGCGAGTTGGCAAATTATACTATCAAACAATTATTCAGCATGTCTACTATAACTCCAAGGGTCCTGTTTGAGTCACTTCCAACCCATGAATGTAATCAATGTTTTTTTCTTGTCGGGCTTTGGTTTATAAACATTGGAAATTTTATGCAAAATTGTAGCAACGCGCAACATGGTTACCATTTTATTAATACCTGTGGTAATTTTGCATGGTTTCCATTTTATTCCCTGTTTTTTTATGCATTTGAATTTATTGCTCGAAATCTAGAAATGTACCATCTTAAATTCTTTGATGAAAAATCACCAATAGTATGATCATCAACATATGCAAATATTTACAAAATCGTTCGTGGGCTTCGTATTTTAATTTGCGTTTTTGTTTTTGGCCTATCTAAATACGTGTTAAACATAGCCCAGGAGAATATTTGTTTCTCCACTTGTGGGCATGTACCATTGCTGAAATTTTCAGGAATGGTAGTTTGAAAGTTGTTTGATATCGTATAAAAAAATCAGAAAAATCGTTCGTGGGCTTCATCGTTTTATAATTCATCGAAATTTAGTCCAATACGATCGTCTTAATAGATACCAAGCTTTGTCGTCCGGAATTTTAAAATGAGTTTCCAAAGCGGAGAAATGATTAAAAAATGTGCTAATTTTGACCAGTCATTGACTCTAAGCACACTTATTCCTGATGATCAAATTTAAACAAATTTGCATATTTTGCAGGTGGGCGAAACTGCGTTTTGCCATGATTCCTATGACAATGTTGGGAGAGCCGTTCATCGAATGTTTGCTGCTTGGGATTTGTGCCGGTTTCTCAACCCGGGTGCTCTTTGGATTCGATCCAATCGTCGTCTTTCTCATACATTTGCTCATATGGTGTATCATGGACTGGCTGCTCTTGCGCTCCATCCAGGTAAGAACTTATCAAGCTAAGATAACCTAACCCCCACATACTTATCCTCTCTTATCTTTTAGGGTGGACCACTTCCATTCAACAAATTCGACTTTGTGATGGCGTGGCTGTTCCGCGAAACCTCGGCGCCCTTCCTCTTCTGCCACTCCCTCTTCTTCCCCTCCATCCGATGGCGGGAGGGGACTTATCGGCTCCACTGGGGCGGCAAGGTGGAGGAAATCCTCCCCAAGGTCAAATTATGAAAGGGATCAAGTCTCCATCACCCTGTATTATAGATCAGACTACGAAATACTTGTAGCTTAACTTACTTCTTAGAGACCTTCAGCAAATGTTATCAGCAAGTCCGTACTTGAGAGAGAAGATAAGAGAGGGAGGCCATCCATCCTCCACCCACCCACCCACGTGACACCCAACCACGTGACACCACCATCCCGCCGCCGATAACTTCTACTTACCCACCCACCCACCTACTTTTTTTACCCGTCTTGATTTTTCCTTTTTAACGTGAAGACCAAGACCCACCACCCTCGACGAGTAGCAGCTTATCATCATCATCACCCCCAAAATTAACCCATGCTACGAACAAAAACATCTGCATAATTGAACAAGGAGCGATCAATCAACAGCAACATTTTATTATTTACTTACTTATCTATAGCAAAAAATTGTATGAAATTTTCCCCTGGTATGAAAAGGATGAAGGGGGAAAGCATGTAATCAAAAGTGTAATCAGACCGTTATGGATACATTATTCTTAAAAAAATTTGTTACACTTACGACGACGACGACAAAGGGAAAAAAATAATATGATATTTTACACTGACCTGGAAATCTAGCAAGAAAAAAACGACAAGTTTTAGTTGAGAGTGAGGAAGGAGCATTCAATATTTAACGATTTTTCTAACGAGTCTCGTGCTATGTAAATTAGATTGACACAAACCGATATTGTTTTGACATTGATATTCAGACAGAGTGTATAACGGGCTCCGTTATTGATTGAGGGAGTGATAAATATCATACAAAATATTTATTTATATTTACCTTTTGTGACCCGATTGGATTATCTGCTGGTATTGATTGATATTTGTTCTAGAAATAGTCGTCCCAAAATTAATGTCCATTCGTAAATATTTACATTGTCTACTAACAATAAGTTTTTTGCTTTTCTCGCCTAAATGTAGGACTGGATGACGAATCACCAAAATCAACAACAGTTTTAATCATTTCTCACCTCTGGGAACTTATTTCAAAATTCTGAACGACAATTTTGCCGTCAGGGAGTTGATTAATGGAATGGCGTTGAGTTTTTTGAGCCAGTTTCGACCAGTTCCAATTTTTCTGAAGGCTTCTTAACCTTGAGATCTCCTCCGCCAAAAAGTGTCAAAATCTGGAGTGTGTATATTTTCAAAAAATTAGGAACTCCCTGCTCTACAAATTTGTCGTTCAGAATTTTAAAATAAATTCCCAGAGGCGAGAAATCATTAAAAATGTGCTGATCTACTCATCCAGTTCTTATATATTAGCCTCCCCAATTAATGTCCCCCCATCCCCCCACTTACTTAATACCCACATTACCCCCCTAATTAGTTAACTGACTCACAAAAAAACCAATGATTACCAATTAAAATATCTTATTTACGCTCTCTCTCTCGCTCCCTCTCTTTGCAAGCTTACGGCAAACAAAAGAAAAAATCATCGCCCACACCACGCCCAACCAGACAATTGAAATGATCTCAATTTTTTCTTGTTTCTTCGCCATACATAAACAATTAAGTTTATTAATTATTATTATTCTGCTCTCTCTCTGTTATTATTATGTAACAACTTGACTCGTATCGTATCAATTAATTAATTAAACAAAATCCTATTTTTTGGAGAGAAAGAAGTTGAGTGAGAAATAAATGATAAAAAAAAGTAACGAATGAGATGAGAACCGAATGATATACACGTAAAATAAATTTCAAAAAAATAATAATGAAATAAAATAAAATAAAAGCCTAAATTGATATTGATCCAAGCAGAAGAAGAGAAAAAAACATAACAAAATAATTTGTACTAGACACGCTTACTTGTCCAAATATTTTTTGTATTGATACCTTTTTTTAAAAAAAAGTTGTTGCGTCTTAATTAATTAATTAATTAATTATATATTTAATTATCTTACTTAAATGTCCATGCAAAAAATGAGCAATCTTCTTCTTCCGTCACATTATGATTATTATCAATTAATTAATTAATTACGGATAAAAATTTAAATTATTTACGTAATACTCGAAAATAGCAAAATTATTCAAATTCTATTATTTATTTAGACGTGGGAAGGAAGAGGATTGTTATTTAAAAAAATAAGTAATTGTTAAGAAGAACCTAGTTAAGAAGAATAGTTTAGTTAGTTAATTAATTAATTGTTTCGTTATTTGTTTATTGTTATTTTTTTGTTTTCTTCCGAGCACGCCAACAAGTGACCAGCATTCGTGGAAATGCACCAAATATGTAGTAAATCATAATAATGACGATGATAATGAATATGTACGACGACGATTTGTGTAATAATTAAATATCTAAGTAATCCTATAAAAATGAGGAGAAGAATTTAAAAGTTTACATAATAAATTGTTATAAAAGTTTTTAAAATAGATTCGTTTAGAGCGAGATGTTTTTTATTCATGCATTTTTTTCATGCAAGTTTTTTTTCTATGAAATTATGAAAATTCCTGTCTCGAGAGAGATCGGTTTTTTATTCGTGCATTTTTTCATGCAATTTTTGAAATTATGAAAATTCCTGATTTTAAGAGCAAGTTGTTTTTATGCAAGTTTTTTTATGAAATTATGAAAATGCAGCCAATGGACTTGTAAAAAATTATGATTAAAATCCAAGAAAACCAAACACGAAAAAATAATTCAGTTTAAAATTTTTTCATATTTATTTCAAATTGAAACTGAAATGAAACATCCATTGACGGCAGGATGAATTCTGTAAAACAAAACAAAACAAAATTTTAATAAATTTTAATAACTTTCATAAATTTCGTTTGATTTTAATAAAAAAATAATTTTAATAAAAAATTCAAAATTTGTTTTCTACGAATATTTTGAAAGATGGCAGATAGTATTTGAAATATTTAATTGAACTTAACTAAACTTTTTGTTAGCATACTACTTATCAAGCAATTTTAAATAAATTATGCAAATTTGCTCACTTACCACTCCATCTTTTCCTCTTTAGGCTCATCCTTCACCTGGACCTCCCAGTCATACTCCAGGTGAAGCAGGGTCGCGGCCTGAAGGGTGTGGCCCTTCTTGTAGGCCACCACCCAGGCTGGAAGGCTCTGCCCCTTCTCCTTCAGCTTGGCTTCCTAAAAGAGAAAAAAGAACAAAAATTCATGAAAAACTGAAAAATAATTTGTAAAAAAAGATAAACCAAAAGAAAATTAAGCAAAGTTTCTTGCTAATTTGCTATGTAAATTAATTGTAAATTTGTTTAAACGTATAAATTATTTAGAAAAAATTGGAAAATTGTTACAACTAATTTTGCAACTAAAAATTTGAGAAATTCGTGAAACTAACTTGCATGAAAAAAATTTCATTACAAATTCTTTCCCAATTTCTTCAAATTTTCTAAAATTATTTAAAATTATTTATAAAAATTGACAAATACCTTATAAAATTGCTAAAATTTACTAGATTGGTAACTAATTTGCGAAAAAAATTGCGAAATATATAAAGATAAGTTAGCTTACCAGTATATTCAGATTGTGCAGGAGTTCCTGCCTTGACCTCGGGGCAGCCCCGCCGGGCCTCGGCCCCCTTTGGGTCGACAGCCGCCTTAAAGTTTGCATAATTTTGGGCAGCTCTGCCACCTTTTCACTCCTGTTAACCTTCATTTGTATTTAGTTTTGACGTTAAGTTGTTTCACGATTTGATTGACAAGCACGAATGATAAGCCTCTCCTGGAGACATTGTTCTTAAATAGGTAAGACATACGATTTGGGAACATTGCATTACATCCGTTATCATGAAATCCCATGCAGACCAGACTCATAAAAATGTGAGAAAATGCGATAACATAAAACATTTCATGCCAAGTAATCAAAAGTAAGAATCTTGTTTTAGAAAGATTTTATGTTATGGTTTCATATTTCTGTCTAATCGCACTTTTAATGAGCATACCGAGCACAATTCGTTCCACTCTCACGAAATCCTACCAAATCCTATCATGAAGCTCATAATGAAGCTCAACATTGTTTGTAATTCAGAATCATGAACGAACTTTACAAAAGCTTAGTTATATCATAATCTACATAAGGTTGACACTAAGAATGGAGGTGGACCAGCGTATGCGATCCGATTTTGAGTAAATTAGTGTCAATTGATGACAAATTTAATTAGTATGAAATTTGTAAAAGACACGATCTCCCAATGGGCACGTTTGGCATAGATATTTGCATCCCAAGAGGAGACAATGCACCGTAAAGTCGACAAATTTTACACTTTCCTCATTTACTGCGCGTTTTCTCCTCTTCGGATGCAAATCTCTCTGCCAAACGTGCCCATTGGGAGATCGTGTCTTTCGCAAATTTCATACTAATCAAATTTGTCATCGATTGACGCTATTTTGCTCAAAATCGGATCGCATACGCTGGTCTACCTCCATTCGTAAAGTTCACTCTTCTCAAACCAAATCCGACTTCTTGGAATAAGATGACAAATATAACGGGATACAATTACCTTGTTCATGAGTGATGACAAATCTTTTTAAATATTCACATTAATTTTATCATGAACACAGTAATTAAACACTTGTTTAAACGTCATAATCTCATGAACAATTTTTCCAGTTTGTATTTCTTTCTTATACATCCGATTTTTTATAAAGTTTATACAATGCCTAAATACAGATATATTTGTTTATGTAAGTACAAAACATGTGTCGATCTTTTCGTCAATTAATTTGAATGAATCAAAAGTGTAAGACAAATCTGGCTAGAGCTAATAAATAGAGAATAATTATAATTAATATAATAATTATCTCGATAATTACTTATCTTGCTAAGTATTCATTAATAACAAAATTCGGAGTAATTAGAAATACAAAGAGTACAAAAAATACGAAGTACAAATACATCAAAAATATGGAGTTAGTTTGCTCTCCGTTTAATAAAGAGCTTCCCCTTTTGCAGGGATGAAATCGGAACCCGGATTTTCGTTTGGTCGTTAACTTTACGCACCCAGACCTGCATTTAAATTCAAATTAGTTCTGCACTCTTATGCAAATTAGTATCTGTATTCAAATGCAAATAAGTACATACCAAGTCCTGACTGATGCTGCAAATAACGCCCCCAACCTTGGACACTCCTTGACCCTCGACGAAGACGGGTTGACCACGGTGGAACCTATGAAATGGAATGATATCAATTATAAAAAATAGGCATACTAATCATAGATAAGATAAGATACATCACTTATCCCGGCCTAATATAACACTTATCATAAATACATTGTTTCTGGTGCAAGTAACCACTTGCTAGAAATAACGGCAAGAAAGTGGGGTTTTCAGCTAAATATTTTGACCTGGGAGAAATGCAAGGCGCAAGAAACTACGCCGCGCCGCGGTAAATACGGCATATAGCGCATATTTCTCCCGCTTTCTTGCACCTCCCATTTCTTGCTTTGCCGTGCAAAAAAATGCAGCAACCCCGCAAGGAATGAAATATTGATGTGGTTTTAGCTATCATGATAAGTCGGGTGGCAGGGATGAACTGTGTCTTCGGGGATTAAAGGTGGGGGGATGAAGTTGCATAAAAACATACCATCGCTTCTCATAAAACAGTTTCCCATCCTCAATCCTCGAATCAGAATGAGATCCTTCCGCCGAGTAATCCGTTTCTATTGCGGCCGCTAAATTATTTCGAGAAACTAACATGTACGTTGCAATAATTATCAATGATTAAGTAATTATTAACTTGTCAACATAAATAATTTCCACCTTTTCTGTTATAACCGTCAGACTTTTTCCCCTTTCCGGACGTAGCACCTCCGCCACGACCGCTGCCTCCTCCACCACCGCCCCCGCCCTGCAGATGGCATCGGATCGATTTCAAGTCGTCGTCAACTTCGGGTTCATCGAGGAGGAACGTGACCTGAAATTGGGGCACTTTTTTCCTCCGCTCCGGTTGTGGAGCGGGGTCATTTGGACGGCGGCGCAGTTTCCGGGTGTTTATCGGCTTGACTTCGGTAGGGTCGGATGTCAGCTCGAAGGAGTAACTGCGTAGTAATAGTAATCATTAATTGATGAAGTATTTATCTATAAAATTAACTACATTTCTTAATGCACGACTTCATGACTCGCCAAAATCAGCGCATTTTTGATAATTTCTCCGCTCTGGGAACTTATTTTAAAATTCTGGGCGACAAATTTGTAGTCCGTGAGTTGATTAATGGAATGTCGTCGAGTTTTTGAAGCCAGTTTCGATGAATTCCAATATTTCTGAAGGCTTCTTAACCTTGAAATCTCCTCCTTCAAAAAGTGTCAAAATCTAGAGTATGCATTTTCAAAATTGGCAACTCCTTGCTATATAAATTTGTCGTTCAGAATTTTAAAGTAAATTCCCAGAGCCGAGAAATGATTGAAAATGTGCTGATTTTGACGATAAGTCATCAAATCCTTCCTTAATTACCGTTCCATCTCAATTTGCTTCTTCTTTTCTTCCAATTCACTAATCAAACTCTCTCTGAGTTCGATCTTTTTGTCCTCAAACTCTCTCCCGATAAGCTTCTGCTCTGCGGAAAAGTCTCTCTCGATGCACATCATGTCATACTCGGTGGAAGCAGTGTTCATCTCCATCCTGCAGATGACAAGGATAAATAATACTTCATTTTTAACTGCATGTTAACTTTTTTTACCAACAAACCTTTTGTCACATTCCCTCCTCAATTTCTCCAAGCCTTGAATGTAGTCGGGGTGGTCGAGCGCTTCCAACTCTTCAAGTTGACCCTTAATCAAGTTCAGCTTATCAAAGTAGGCCCTGTCAGGAGAAACAATTTTATTAGGTAATCACCAAAATCGTCAAAATTAGCACATTTTTAATCATTTCTTCTCCGCTCTGGGAATTTATTTTAAAATTCTGAACAACAAATTTGTAGAGCAGGGAGTTCCCAATTTTCTTGAAATATACAGTCCAGATTTTGACACTTTTTGAAAGAAGAGATCTCAAGTTGAAGAAGCCTTCAGAAAAATTGAAACTCATCGAAACTGGCTCAAAAACTCATCGCCATTCCATCACTGACTACAAATTTGTCGTTCAGAATTTTAAAATAAGTTCCCAGATTCGATAAATGATTAAAAATATGCTGATAAGTCATCGACTCCTACATTAATTATTACTCACTCTTCCTTCAATTTCCTCTGATTTTCATCCACTTCTGCAACCACACCACCCCCACTGTCCCCCATCCCTCCTCCTCCCCCCATTCCGTGCGAGTAAGGTTGCAGCAAACCAGCCGACGTTGATCCCCCCGGAACGTTGTTGTTATTTCCCCCGGTGAAAAATGGATTTCGCACATCGCGAATGTCGCCATCCTCCGAGGCGTCCTCGGTGTCCTCGTCACTATCGCGATAACCTTGAGGACCACCGAGTCGCACGTATTCTTCGTGCAGCGCGAGCAGTCTTGGCTTATCGGTGTGGGGGGTGATTAACATGTGTGCCGCTGTTCGGCTCAATTCACGTTGACGTTGCTCGTGCAATTCCGCCAGTTCGGCGTCATAATCCATACATTCGCTCAAATTTCGAAAACGAGGAAGTGAATTGGTCGGACCGGAAGAAGACGCCATTTTTTTAATTGTCAATTAAAACGTCGGTAGACGAACTATAACTTAATTAAAATTTAAATATAGACCTCCAATTATTGTGACCCTGAAGAACCGGAGGAGGACGATAATGAGCATAATTTCAAATTCCTCAGCAGTTAGACAAACTATAACTTACTGATCTCCAATTAATTATTCCGTTAAATTATTACAATTTAATTAATTTAGCAGGAAAAATAAGATAAATCTACTTTCTTTCAGCACATTTAACCAAATAAGTTGATACCCAATTTAACTTAAATTTTGAATTTAAAGCTGTCCTACTAACCAGACTTGACGAAGTTAACGATCGTTTAAACAAATTATCTAATTAATTATTCTAATTGGCCAAATTGCAAATAACTTTCGTGCCTGCCTGGATTTGCAACTTTTGACTTCAAACACAAATCCTACGAAAAACGCACACGGAGCATTTGTCATTTGTGAGATTCATTCCAATATTACAAAGTTTGCACGCAAATACATAAGCATAAGCATCATACCGTTCTTCCAAATTCATACAAAAGAACAATCTATACCTCATTTGCATAGCATCAATAATTCGCATTCCAAAATTTGTAACAAGAAATCAAATCAAATCTGATTATTTCTCCTTATCCAAAATTCAAATTTGTTTTTTACATTGGTTCAGAATTCAATAACAAAAATCGTATAAAATGGATGGATCTCATAAAATCTCATTTTCATCACAACGATTTAGCTTCTTTTGATTGGAGAATAACTGATATTCAGATAATCGAAGCCATGTTATCAAAATATTGGAGAACTAATAAGCTTATTTAAAAAAGGTTGTTTGTTATCATTTCCGTTTTCTCACAATACAAATTCCTATCGTCAGACTGCATGCGTTTAACGTCGTTCTCTTTTCTCCCTTAGCGTATTTACATACATAATTAAATGCAATGCTAATTAACCTCCTCATCCAAACCATCTTAATTAACATAAACCATACCCAAAGATAAGGTAGCAATGAACCTCACAGCTATAAAATCTCTCTTTATTCCTGCCACAAAACTTCTTGCCTTCATTCTCTCCCAACTTTTCGTCCACCTCGGTCACAGTTATCATTTCCTCCTCAATCTCAACCTCAACTTCCCCCCACTTAATCCCCCCTCATCACTCCTCGAAATGCAAGAATACGAAGTAACCTACACCTCATCCGGAACCTCCTCCTTCCCCCCGTCGTCGTCAGGATCCAGTCCAATCTGGTTACCACAACCCCCGCCCGCCTCGCCCCCATTGGCGTCCATGTTCAACGCTCCAGATTACAACTGCTTATCGCCCGCACCCTCGACCCGTCCGGCCTCGAGGATGCGAGACTCGAGGGAATGGACTTCCTCCAAGAACAGGAGGAAGTCCAGCAGCAGTACTATCAACATCATCAAGTTGGAGGAGGAGGAGGAGGGGGACGACGACGTGATGCAAGGAGAGGGTCATTACCTGCCCCCCTTTAATCTGCACGATGACACGGGTTCCGTCACTCTTGTGTCGGCCGGGGATAAATCGCCCCCACCTTCGCCAACGAAGATGTTTGCAGAGGTTTGTTATCATCTAATTTTGTATAGTTTCTTTTCTTGCGGGTTTGCTAAATTTTTTGCACTGGAAAGCAAGAAATGTGTGAAATGCGAGGTGCAAGAAACTGGGAGAAAGTGGGAGAAATATGCGCCATCCAGCCGCGCGCCGTATGCCGTATTTACCGTGGCGGGCGTCGTTTCTTGCGCCTTGCATTTCTCCCAGGTCAAAATAATCCCCTGCAAGAAACGACTTTACTGCCCTTATTTCTCCCAAGTGGTGGTCTTACTTGCACCCGAAACACTAATTAAATGCCTCAAATTATTTAACTGACATGACTATAATTATTTAACTGACATATGTTTCCCCTCCTTCTCCTCAGGCCTTTCGTCACATCCGGAAATTAAACCATCTCATGGAGAATGACGCCACGCTCCGAGTCGTGGTCATGGATTTGCAAGCCGTCAACCTCGACCTTCTCAAGGCGCAGGAAGCCCTCGAATTCAGAAGGAATAAGCGAAAACCCGTTAATAGGAGAGTGTTTTAACCCCAATTAATTAATTACGTTCAGGAATATTTCATCAATTACTATTTAATTATAATATTATGATTTTTACTTTGATTGCGAGATTTTACACATTTTTTTTGGGTTTAAGACGGCAATTTCGTCCCCATTTTTACGCTATTTTTTAAGCAGTAAATATTTGACAAATATTATTTTACTTTGTACAACATTTTGTTTTGTTGTTTTTATTTAAATCTTTTCATTCACAGAGTTTAAAATTACAAATATGTAATTTACATATCGTTGTAAGCAGCAATCACAATATTTGACATTATTTAATTCTATTTAATCACCTGGTTTTTGTTGCATTAATCAGAACAACAACACTTAAAACAGTTACGTAATTATTAAAACATAGTATAAAAACACATGAATTTTGAAATATCTAGTAAAAAAAAAGTCCACCTATGAACTGAATGTGACGACAACATTATTTGTAAGGCAAGTTTTTGGATTAATTAAAGCAATTAATTAAGTCGGACGAACACAGTTTGATGTAGGGACGGAATTATTTTGTACTTTTTTCATAATTGGTTAAAGATTTTCTTCGAGTATTTTCGGAGTCTTGACAAATTAACTACTGCGGATTCACGACAAACTCTCGGTTTTCATAGTCGTCTAAGCTCTTGGCGTCGATAAGCATGCCAATAACGAGATCACCTTTGCCACTGAAACATAGTAATATGCAAATTAGTCCCTCCATCCATACCCACACCTATAAAACAACCCTCACTCATTGTCAGTGCAGCTTTATTCAGCCCGAGTCAGGTTGTCGGTAATAACTTTTGCACAAATTTTGCTCATCTTCGAACTTGATTCTTAATAATTTTGCATATTCTACGCATGTCCAAAATTTCAAGTCGATTGGATAAGCGTATATAATCAACAGAGTTGGTCAAGATACTTTTTTTCAAAGATACAAGATACAAGAAAATTCAAGACATACAATACTTTGAACGAAACCCTAAGATACAAGATACTAAATACAAATACTGAGCTCTACACAAGATACAAGATCCAAAATATATTGTGTGTCTTGTACCTCATATATTGTTAACCCTGGTAATCGATACATAGAAAGACAACCATGACGGTAAGCCTATACATAAGTAAGCCCTGACTACTACTAAACTCACCACTTGAATAAATCCGCCGCCGTTATCCGGAACGGATTCACTGGCTTCACCATATCGAATATCTCATCCTTGATATCGTCAAATTTTGGAGCTTCTGGGTTCGACTCGGACAAAATTTTGTAAACGTCCTACATAAAAAAGTTGGGTTATTCATAATTTTTTAAAAAATTGACAGTTGCATATCTCTCTCCTCACCTTATAGAAGTAGTGCAGATCCCCCGAATTGAGGTATCCCTTCCCATGAATATCTAAAACTTTGACGAAGTAACTGATCGCCTGCTCCTCGCTCTTGTTCTCCATCGCGAGCACAAAGTCGATATAGGCTCTAAAATCCATTTCACCGTGGTATGTCATCTTCTCCGAGAATAAGGCATCCGCAAAGGCTTCCGTGAGATATATCGATGCCCCACAAGAGGAATAATTGAACCTAGACGATAAGGATAAGATAAGCACACGTTTAACATGCATACATTTTCACATAATATTCACTACGAATTCGCATGTCCGCATCGCAACATAATTTTGGAAAACATTGTACAAACTAATCCTAGCCATTAGAGATGTGCAAGTTCGCAAACGCATTTCTAAGCCAAATTTTTTTGCGAGCTTGCGAACTTGCACATTTCCAAATGTTTTTTCAGAAATGTTTGTCAGAAATTCAGAATTGTTCTTTTTAACGATGCGAACTCGTAATGAATACTTTTATTATTCTCCTCACTTAAGAAACTCTTCCTGACTCAACATCCCATTGGCATCCGTGTCTAGTAAAACGTAGTGCTTGTACACACGGAGCAGGCTATAAAGTCCGAACCAGTTAGTGTCCCGAACAACGGAATCCCGCAACTAAACAAAGGTCAATTAGTAAAGTTATGTAAGTACATTTCAATTCAAATTTAGGCAAAATACTTGTACAAATGCGGTATTTTGAGCTTTGTTCTTCCCAGGGCTTGAATTTCTAGGGTTGTTACACCCAAAAATAGACGGAAATCTGCATGAGGAAGACAACCGTCTTACGAAAATACATGAATTCAGCTTTTCATCGCTGTCAAAATACTTCATTTTTCACAAATCGTGAAAACAATGCATTTTTCCAGCGATAAAAAGCTATTTCTTCACAAAACATGTATTTTTGTAGGCCTGTTCTCTTCTCCATGCAGATTCTCATTCCTTTGTGGATGCAACAGCATTGGAAATCTAAACCCTGGGAAGAACAAAAACTCAACTTTCTGTATTTTGTCCACCCTTTCATGTCAAGTTAAACTTTCATCATGAACAACTCACCTCCAAGATCTCATCGAGCAACATGCTCGACATGATGGCTACAATTTGCACCTTTCCAATATGTCTGGGATCCAGGAAGAAAAAAAACTTTCGACTTGCGGCGCACAAATAGAACGGTTCCAGAGCAGATTCCATCCCCTCGAGTTGCTGAAGCGTAGGGAGCAGTTCACGGATGTAGGACTCCATCCACTACAAATTATAACAAAACCGTGGCTTAATTAGAAGTCATACACATTCAACAGCAAACTCTTTCTTGCCTCCCTCCCTCACTCACCTCTTCGGTCAGGTACCCTTGACAGTCGAGGTCATAGTTAATGAACCCCAGCCTCGTCTGAATCAACCAGACCCTCTTCATCACATAATTGAAGAGATGGATGATCGGCAAGCGACGAAATATCTTATCATCTGACTCACTCATCAGACTCATAAACTTGGTCGTGGTCAGCCATTCCCTGTACGTATTTAAATACAAATTAATTACACAATTACAACTACCTCTCCCCTCGTTTCGGTAACGTTAGACTCGATGTTTCATGGCCAAAACCGTCAAAATCTCCACATTTCTCGCCTTCGGGAATTTATTTTAAAATTCTGGACGACCAATTCGTAGAGCAGGTCGTTCCCAATTTTTTTAAAACACTCCGGATTTTGAAGGTAGAGATCTCAAGTTTAAGAAGCCTTCAGAAAAATAGGCACTCATCGAAACCCGCTTAAAAATCCAGCTCCATTTCATTAATCAACTCACTGACTACAAACTTGCGGTTCAGAATTTTAAAATAAATTCCCAGAGGGGAGAAATTATATTAAAAATGTGCAGATTTTGATGATGAATCCTCAAATCCTACGTAAATCCTGTTTTCACCTGATTTTTGGGTGCATCTCCTCCTTTGCCTTGGTAAAGCTCACGTAGTCAATATACTTTTCGTAGACGAGGACCCCTCTGTCCCTCAGGCCGCGTTCCACCCAGCGAAACCATTTCGTATTCAACGGCTTCGGCGTCTTATCCGCCCATTTTTCCAAAATACCATAGAATTCCTGTAAACCAATAAATAATTCATCCTTAAACTGCATTTATAAATACTTTACTTCTTCATAACCTTGCGCCATTAATGTTACAACATTGGCGCAAGTTAGGAATAACCACTTAAAAACTATCAATTATTGACAAATTATTCCCACCATAATCTCTTCTTGGGTTAAGAGATCACTGGACATCCTGTCCCAAATTTGCTGTTTCGTCGCCAACCGGAGGGAATACGCCACCCTGTCGCCATCACTTGGTTCAGATTCCTGCAAAGAAAAACACCGTACTTTAATGTTCTTAAAATAGGACCAGACCGGACCGACAACCGATAAGGCACGGACACCGACACCGGCATTTTGATAACACTACCATTATTTCATCCGACACCCACATTTTTGACCTATTTATTGCCTCACCTTATGCAACGTGGGATCGACGACCAACTTGTTTCGAAAGAGACGTGAAAGATCGCCCGATTCTCGAGCTTCGCGAAGTAGTTTTTCTAAATTCTTGTACCTTTCGACAATCACGTCCGTCTGGGTGGCGGGAGGTGTTGGCGATGATGACTTAGCCCGTACTGGAGGCTCCTGTAGGGTTGAAAATTGGTCGCGAAGGGCTTGCGAGAAAGTGGAGAAGGGCAGCCCAGCGAGGCGCGGAGGTGCCTGCTCATCGGCGGCCTTCCCCTTCTTCTTATTTCGACGAACAACAACAAACGACTCTTGTTCGTCCTCCTTCATCGCAGCGGCAGTGGGGGTGGTGCTGCTCATCCTTCTTGATAATGACCTATCAGAGCAGAATAAAACTTTGATAAGTAAACAGGCACAAAAGAACGATTGAATATTGAATTCAATTCACGCAGTCATTTGTAATTCGTAAAATGTGTGCGTTTTGTACCAAAATTTTACAAAATAAAGAGATTCCCTTGATCTCTGCAAGTTTAGGAACATTCAGGAAGCTAATTTTCATTCGAAATATGAGTAAAATTTTGTAAAACTTTGTAACTCTACAGAATTTACGTATTTTACAATTTTTATTCGCAAAGTCTGCGTGAATGAATTGCTTCAATATTTCAAGATTTCGTAAAAATACGAGATAGTAAATCCAATCTATCCCGATTTAATACTTACCGCGACAAACTAATTAATTAATTAGTTAATTAATTAACTATTTCGTTAAATAACAAATTGAAAAAAACAGAGATCAAAAAGGAGATCCCAGTCCAACTGATTCCGGCTCCCGGTAGATTTTTTCCTCAATCAGAAAAACCATCTCCATCAACCCAGCAGTCGGCTCAGCATGCAAAAACCCGTTCCAAAACTCCAATAAGTTTTTCATACACTTCATTCTTCTTCTCACCTTATCAACAAATTAAACGCTTATCTTTTTTTATTGAGATCATTTCCATAATAAGTAAGACATGTAGCTATTAAACACAAATTATCCCCCGACAATAATACTGTCCGTGTAATGATTTTCTCCAAAATTCCAATCGATTTCTCAGAAATATTGGGAAATTCCTCAAACATAAATTTCCCCAGTAAATTCCCGATAAGATAATATTGCAGATCTTGATCCTTCCATTGGAGAAACAACCATGAAGTACAGCAGCACAGCACCGTTGAATAATTACTACATGAATATTTCATTAATTACATGATATGATTACTTCCCAACCCCCCAACTTCCCCCCACCCCCATATTTGCGATAAGGATACGATGAATTAATCACGATGAATTAATCACGATTAATAAATCCCCTGAAACATGTAGAAACTTATAAAGGAATAACATTTCTGAGACGTTAATGGATATCCACATTTCAGGGGGCGATTCCCCCTCCCCACAAATAATACCCCCCAAACTAAAATAAATTTACAAACTTTTTTTTATATATTTCTTACACTTATAAATAAGTACATACGTATGTATTACATTTGTTCGATTACATCACAGTTAATTCTGGTTGGTTGGTTATAGTTAAAAAAAAGTAACGGTTAAAATATTTTAACAAATTTATATCGCTTTTTTAAACAATAATTATGCGCAGAGATGAACTTAATTAATAATTAATGACAAAAAATTTGGATTTGAATGATTTGATTACAATATTTTCAGTCCTATAGGATAACAATTTGTTATCATGTTTCACGGTAAATTTGAGATCCACAGCACATTCTTGATAACATAGTTGATTATATGACAAACACGAGGTTAAAATTCTACAATTTTTCGTATAATACTAAAATCCTATGTAATTTTTGACGCCGTTCTATTCGATCCGCGGTATTAATGAGGGGCTGGATGACGAATCACCAAAATGGTCAAAATCGGCACATTTTTAATGATTTCTTATGGGCTCTGGGAATTTATTTCAAAATTCTGGACGACAAATTTGTAGAGCAGGGTCTTCCCAATTTTTTGAAAATATACAGTCCAGATTTTGACACTTTTTGGCGGAGGAGATCTCAAGTTTAAGAAACCTTCAGAAACCTTGGAACTTATCGAAACTGGCTCAAAAAACTCCACGCAATTCCATTAATCAACTCACCGACTACAAATTTGTCGTTCAGAATTTTAAAATAAATTCCCAGACCCGAGAAATCATTAAAAATGCGTTGATTTTAACCATTTTGGTGAATCGTCATCTAATCCTACTTAATTTTGACACCTTTCTTCTCTTCGCTTCGTTCCATAATATTAATTATCTTCACAAGAATTTTGAGTAGTAAGTTTTTATAAACAACAACAATTAATTATCTGGTAAATAGTGAGAGAGAGGAAGAGTTAGTTTATCATCCTCGAAGTGGCGTTTCCGGTGGTGGCGTCCATCGTGGAAAGGTGGGTCTTCGGTGGGAGAAATCTTCCCTCCCGTCGTCTCCTCCGACGCCACAATCATCCTGGTTTTTGTCGTAAATGGCGTTCACATCGTGGTAAATGACCTCCTGCTCCACTCCGTCGACGACCGGCGTCTTCTTGTACGATCCGAACCGATACTCCAGGTAACTCACGCCCATCATCATCAATCGAATTTGGTGGATCAGCACAAACGTGAGGAGAATGGCGACTCCGATCCCGTAAATTGATGTGATATAGCCCAAAGTAATCCTGATCAGGTAATCAACAATTAATTACTTAGTCACGTGGTAGTTATATATTTATTATCAGTTTTTCGGATGCAAGCAACCACGTGCAGGAAAGTAGTTTCTTGCAGCTATTTTGACCTGCACGAAATGCACGGCGTAAGAAACGACGCCCCGCCGCTGTAAATACTTCATACGGCGCGTGGCGAACATTTCTCACACTTTCTTGCACCCCGCATTTCTTGCATTTCTTGGAAAATCTAACAAACCCGCAATACACGAAACACTCTTTAATTATATCATCTTTCTCACATGAACTGTCCCTTTCCATACACATCCGGACAGTTAGTCGGAATCAGGAGCCATCTCGATGTCGAGGAAGTCCCATCATTGAAACCAATTCCATTCAGAAGATAGACCGGGTAGCAAATCGAGGTCAAGTTCATCATCACAGTTACCACGAGCCAAGCCGTTCCAAACGCCACCGTCGCCACGAAAGCCAACTTGTTCACGCGACCAACACAGCAATTTATCCAGACGCAGTGATGATCCTAAAATTAATTTACATTTAAATCGCCCCTTTTTAAAGTAATTAATTAACTAACTAAACAACTCACTCTTCCGGAAACGAATCGTTTACACTTTCTGCAATAGTCGTAGCTGTAATACATCATTTTCTTGACGGGGTCCAAAATTATGCTGGATTGCTTTTTCGGCTGCGTCCCAAACTTGGCGTTGAACTCTTCGGGGAGCGAGGCGCAGAGGTGGCGGGTCAGAAACATGCAGAAGATGCAGCAGCCCCCCATCGCTAGGGCGAAGGCGTATTCCGTCTGAGTTATCGAGGCAAATATCCCGCGCGTTACCGTTTCAAAGACCTGCAGCACAAAGGATCAGATCAATAGTAAAAACCAAAAGCATGCTCTACATCACAATCAACGGCGGATATGTATTTTAAAAAATCCCTGAAATGTGCACTTAATATTTACGAAAAAATCTCAAAATATTTACGAAATATGTACAAAACAATAAGAAATTTCATTAAATTCGCATCTTTGGAATTAATCTTCTGGATTTTTTTTTCAAGTTGAATTTTTTGAGAACAAAAACAAAGCCTCAAATCGTTGAAATATTTACAAAATAGATACGTATTTTAGAAAAGAATGTGTAAAAGATTACACATTTTTGAAAATATATAACATTTTTCAAATAATAGCAGAAATATTGTATGTATTAATGTCTAAAAACCTAGAAATATGTTGCAATATGTGGAAATTTTTCGTAATTTTTGTACTCTACTCGAGTTACGGATCACCCCCATACGATTTAACCCTCGGTCGTCATCAAATGAAAATTTTTAAGCTAAATACATATCCGCCCTCTGCTTATCATCACCCCCCCTGGTCACTCACATAGAAGGAGATGATCATCGAATACAGCGTGTACTTGAAGTAGAAAGAAGACGAGTTCTTAATCCCACACTGTTTCTTTACAACGTTTATCGTCACTGGGAGCAGTCCGAGAGAAATGAAGGTTGACCACGTTCCGAAAGATGCAATCGCAAACGTCACGCCGAGAAGGATCAGGGGGATCAGGGTCGATTTCCAGTCGCATAACGACTCAAAAAATCCCCCGTTCCGTAACCACTGCGTAATCACAGATAAGGTCAAACATGTTATATTATGATAAGACAAAATTTCAATACACACAACTTACCGGAATTCCGAGCTTCATTCTCTCCTCAAAAGAATGACCTGACAAGAAGATAAACAAGTGACGAAGAAAAAAGTGACGAAAAGTTGACCAAAATTTATTCCACTCCTATCGATGAATCGCCTTCCTTCCAATTCAAATCTGAATCGAGAACAATTCAAAATCGATTAAATTATAATTCAACAAGTTCGACCTACATTTAAAAAATCGATTTGTTTGTTGTGGATATATAATTATAAACAAATTTGAATAATAATAACTGATTATTATTTCATGTATGTACCTCACAGGTAGTGGAAGTCGTGGTGGTGGTGGTGGTGGAAGGGGGGACTAAATACACCGGGACAGATAAGCCCTTCGCAGATAAGGTCAAGGATAAGGAGAGAGAGAGAGGAAATTAGCTCCAGCAGGAAACGGACCGAACTCTTTTTCAGTGAGAAATGTCAAAAGTCGCCCAACTCCAGTTCCCGGCCGGGCCGGGGGCAAGGTGAGACTCGACTTTCACATACTTTCACCTCTGCTTTCTCCAGAAAAACATGAACTATTTCAAAATTGCATATTTACAATATTTTATAAACTTTATAAGTTTATAACGAATTACATGTACATCTTTTGTCTCATAAAACCATACAAATTACCCAAAATATGCATACATATTTACATACACAGTTCGAATACATGCCAAAAATATGCATATTTATTTGCATAGTGCGAATGCATGCATATTTTTCTCACTTATTTTATCCCCGACCACAACCATACGATAAACACACTAATTAATTTGCATATTAATCAACTAATTAACAAAGTCATTGGTAATAACTCGTAAAATCCGTACCGTTTGTGCCACAATTTTACAAGCTTTTACGCAATAAAGAAAGAGATGTCTTGTATTAATATATCTGAGCAAATTTATACAAATTTGTGCTCTAATTTTCCTTGGAAATATGTGCAAAATTTTGTAAAGGTTTGAAATGCTATAATCAATTTTAGAGCATATGTAACTTTGAAATATTGCTCTTTTACTTTTTACAATATTTTATTTCAAGCTTTCATTTACATTCAGCAAACTTCTTCTCAAATGCAAAGCTAGTTAAAATAATTAAAATATGACAATTAACTTGCAGCAAATTTGCACATTCTCCTTCTTCACAAAGCATAATAATAAAGCATGGACATTTTACTGTGTAGAAATGTGGATATTTTTCATACACGTGGACTTCATCCACAATAAGCCACCGAAATTATTTTGCATGTGCGAACTTGTACAAAATTGGGACATTCTTCTTCTTCTTTAAGATACACATAAATAAGTGAAAAAAATCTTACCCATTTTATTCTACATATAGAAATTTGTCCTGTACTTTACATATATACATAATCATAAAAAATACATATATGTACAGCGTTAAAGGCCAAATCGGACTAATAAATACGTACTTTTGTAAAAGTTTGTACGTTTAGAGAATTTATGGATTTTTTACCATGTTATCAAGGCCTCCGTGAATTGCCTCCTCACTAAATTGGATTATAAATACGTAAAAGGTCATTTAGCTCACCGACTTTCCAAAATATGTTTCTAATTCAAAAACTTTCAGCAACTAATTTTTTGTAATAATTGCTTCCATTTCATGACGTTAGTTATGTGCATACATATGCAAATAATCATCCGTCGTCATCAATATGAAATCTGAAATTTTTATTGACAATTTCGAACTTGCATACGAGTTAACTATGCACCCAAATTTGTATGAAACACGTGACCATTTCATTTTATGGCACATTAATATTGCAATATTTCCTATGCAATTATTCCATGCTGGTACAACATGATTTATTTATAAGGGGAATACTAGCTGGGTTGCATACGTAAAACTCCCATAAATTACGAGGTTTACACAGTATATAAGTTACACTATCCATTTAAAAATAAATAATACAAATTACTAATCGAGACTCTCTTAACACAAAATCTTTACTCAGGATTAGTCTCATGACTCATTCGTCACTCTGCAAACAATCGAAAGAAAAACAAAAAACACGTTGCCTTCATTCCAAGAAAATACCCCGTGAACACGTGGACTGCACTGTAATCGTTCATCCAAACAAAAAAAGGATGACTTTGCATCTGGACCCGACCACCATGAAGCACCAAATTCTTGTCTCCGAAACCATTTACAAATTTTCCCATTCACTCAAATTTACTACTACATTACAAAAAAATACTTGTGTTTCCCAATTCCTAAAAGTATGAACTACGCTTAAAAAATATCCCCATATTTCTTAAAAAAAGTCACAAAAATGCTGCATGCATTTTGAAAAACATGAATTTTTCTACAACAAATGCATACCCTCCATTTAATGCAAATCGTCCAGCTTACTCACATATGTAAATACAATTCAGCCACGTGTCTTAACCGTTAATAATGATGTCCACGTATATCTTAACAAAAACATCACAAAAATGCTAACATTTCCACCAACAGAATCATCACACATTTCAAAAAACACGAACTTTTCGCTATTTCTATACAACTTCTATTTAATAAATACAAATCGCTTAAAAAATATATCGACATTTCAACCGAGTAAAATGTGCATGCTTTTTTATGATGCTTTGCAGAATGCAGAATGTGTCAATTTTATGAAAGTTCATTTTCATATGCGTCCGTCCAGCTTATGTATGTACATAAATACAATTCAGCCACGTGTCTTAACCGCTATAACCAGTGACCGCGGAAGGGTGTGGACAGAGGGACAATGTCCCCACGGTTATTCGATGTCCGCATCATCTCCCCATCTTATACAAACCTCTCCCTCCCCTATCAGACAATGTTAACGTCCCCCGATGTCCCCACGGCTTCCGCGGCCACCGGCTTTAATACGTAATGAATGATGTGTACTTCCACGATATCACGGTCATCCCCAGTTGCATAATAAAGTAAATGGTGATCGATGGCATCCACCCAGCTTACTACACGTACTACTCGGATGACTCATTCATTCCAGTTCCTGGAACTACTCGCACTTTCACTCGGCCTTACTTTCACTCAGAACAAAGAGAAAAGCAGTAGTGGCTGCAGTGCAGGTTTCCAACTACGACTCGACTTTCCCCAGAACCCCGTCAACCTTTCCCAGAACAGTTTTGCTGCATAGGTATTTAGAGGAGAACACAAGTCCCTATAATTTCACCAGAATCGAACACAATGACTAATCTGTTGAGACGCAAATATGCATGGATGAAAATCATCAATTCTCAATAATTGCATAATCCATGGTTCATACGTATGTAAATTAGCTTGCAAAAAAATTGCACTTCTTCTTAATAAAAGTTTTTCATAAGTGTCCACCCAGTTTGAGATGCATTCATTCTTTATATAGTCACCTTCCATCCATATGAAAATTATTCGCATGCAAAACCTGCATAAAATTCGCACATGCTTCTTCTTCATAAAGCATCGTCTAAATACATGCATGAAAAAAAATCTTGTACATATTACTCCGTAGAAATACCCACATTTTTCATAAGCATCACTTCAATCACCTCGTGCAGTGGACAATCTAATTCCTTTCTCTAAAATCTGACCCTCCACGCAGTTTAAGATATAAATAATATGAATATCATCCACTCCAATAATTGCATAATCCACCGTCCATATGAAAATGAACTTGCATAAAATTCGCACATTCTTCTTCTTCTTCACAAAGCATTATAAAAAAGCATGCACATTTTACTCTGTAGAAAACGTTTATATTATTTTTCATAAGCGTGGACATGATGATCCAATCCAATCTCAATAAGCCATCGTCCGTCCTTATGAAGGAATTATTCGCATGCAAAACTTACCCCAAAATTTGCACATTCTTCTTCTTCTTCTTCACAAAGAATCATCTAAATACATGAAAAAATCATACAAATTCAACTCTTTAGAAATGTCGATATTTTTCTTAAGCATCACTTAACCTCGTGGAGTGGACATTCTTCTAATCCCTGTAAAAATAGTGCCCAAATAATAATCCTAACTCGTCACATGCATAATCCTTCTTTCGAGTTGAAAGAACTCTTTTGTCTTGTTTGAAGCCCAACAAAAACCAGAGCTTATGACGAATCCCCACGTAAAATATCACTCTCTAACGATGATGATGTCATCCTTGGCCAGTCTCACGATGATGTCATCCTTTTCATGCATGCATTCAACATACATTTCTTTACATACCAACCAGCCAACAAGACCGCATTATTGTGCATGCATGCAATCTCAGCCTATAAAACGTCACCTTCTTCTCAATCCTTCTCTCACAATAATTCCATGAGAAACAAACAAATACATGTTATTTTTCCCATCTGGCAGACCAACTTAAAATATGTCACATATATACTTTGACCTTAAATTGACCAATAATCTCACTTTTCTCACCCACACCAAATCATACATACCTCTCTCCACTTGTATCTCTGGCGAATTCCATACCTCATTTATTCCGCAAATGTATATATGTACAATGTACCTCTCTCTCAAATCTACATATATATGCAAATTATTTACTCCCAAAAATTCCATACGCACATGGACATACAATTCACCGGTGACCAAATTACAAAATTACCGAAACAAAGTCCGCCTTGATAAACATCACGTTATTATCTGCACCCTTTTATCAGGATCTGAATGCATACCTCTTTTACATACATACATGCAAATATGTACCTCACCTATTTACATATTACTCACGTCCCAATTATTTAAACACCTTAAACAAAAACAACAATTTAAACAGAAATATTCCCCCCCACTAAAATCCCCTGTCCATCCCTCCATTTTTGACCACTCTCCACATAAATTCCCTCCCGTTCATGCACACGCAACAATGTGTCCTCTCTCCAAAAACGTTGTAATTACAAAAAACTAGCCAAAATTCCACGAATATCTCTTCAGTCCAGTCGCGTCCTCCTGTCGTCCAATCCAATCAACTCAAATTGTTACACGTACATACGTCCATGCATTTAACGTAACATTACACAAAAAAAGCACATCCACTCCACTCCACACACGAAATTACCATCAGCACCATTCTTCTTGCATCGTGAATGCCCCCGTTTTTTACACACAAACATTCCCTCTCGTCCATAGCATAACGTATAACTCTGTCCTGTTCTTTTTTAGCGTCTCACTCACTCACCAAACCAAACCAGCCAAAGTCGTGAAAATGGTGTAAAGTGAGGAAAGGGTTAGATATTTCGCTACTCTGCTAAAAAGGAGAAGTCGTTCCGACCACGGGTTCAGTCTGCATTCTGCAACCAAACTTCAACCAACCAAGCTCATCCTCCTCCTCCCACCTCCTCCTTAACTAACTCGGCACTTGTGTACTTCTAAATCCATCTCGACACCATATCAGCATCATCCCACGAGCCAAAAACCAAAGACATCCAAGACTTACATCCAATATAAGAGTGATAATTTACATATGTACATGCATCGCAAATAGGCCACAGGCCGACCAGTTCACAGTTTTAACTTCTTCCCCACGCCAAAAACTACTTACGACTTCCTTCTTAACCTCATTTTATTCAGAAACGATCAAACTTCTTACCCAGAAATTGGGCAAACAAAAGTTGGGTGCAAAATTTCCATAAAATCGGCAAGAAATTGTGCAAAAACTTTGCTCAAAATTTCCATAAAGCTTTCCCATTCGGCAAGAAATTGTGCAAAACGGATACCATTTACCGATTCAGTGAGAAACTGTGCAAAAGCTGTGTGCAAAATTTGCCCCTCATTTCTTCAGAAACATTAAAACTGTACCAATTCCCCACTCAGTGGTTACAAAATCTCTCCAATTTGTGTACCGTACTAATTCCCACCTCCAATTAGCAGGTGTATGTGTCTACTACACTAAACAAAAAAATCTCGCCTTGAACATAACATCTCTTCGTTTGCTGCAGTCCTAATGCAAATGCAATTCCAGGACAATTTCGACTCGACTCGAGTAGTAGTTGGTGCAACGAATTGACTCCTGATACCAGAAATATTCTGCTCGTTACATATCAACTGCGACCCCCAGGAGGACACCACGCTATTGGATTGGGTATTCATTATTCATCCACCTCCTGCCTGCACAGATATTTACAGTGTCACATCATCATCCTCGCTAACTCTCATATCTGACACTATTATATAGCACGGAAGGAGGAATATTATTACTATGAAATATATCCCCACACAGCCCACTCGTCCCAACACTTTAAAACTAATTATCATGTGACGTAATAACGCTGCTCACCAGTTAAGTTACTGTTCATCTCTCATCTCAATCAACAACATTCATTCATTTCATTCGAGCCAAGAGACACTAAATATTTTCCACATACATCTCAAATAAGCCAAGTATCTCGAATACGCCAAGTTTTTTAATATTCATAAAACACACTTGGAAGGAAATTGAGACGGTGATAAAAGAAGACCACGAGGATAAAAAGTGCTGCACTTTCTCAGGTGAGGTTTTTTTATTCTCTCCACATTCTTTTACAGTGGCCGCGGAAGGAAGTGTGGGGATAGAGGGATTAAATGTCCCCACGGTTGTCTATTCGATGTCCGCATCATCTGTCCATACAATACAAACCCGTCCCTCCCCCATCCTATAGCCTATAGGATTGTATAAAATATTAATGCCCCCACGGCTTCCGCGGCCACTGGATTTCATACACTTTCTCGTATGCCCACCCCACATAACTATCAAATTCAGTGGCCGCGGAATAGGGTTGACGGGACAGAAGTACAATGTCCCCACGGTTGGTTATTCGATGTCCGTATTATCTCACCATCTTATATAATAAACCTTTCCCTATATCCTACAATGTGCAGTGTTAGTGTCCCCCAGATGCCCCCACAGCTTCCTCGGCCCCTGTTCTTGACCACATCCACATCCGCCTCGAGAAGAGAGGACATGTGTGCACGTACTTGCATAGTTGCCTACCCACTTGACTGCATGACTTGATTCCAGGATGTCGCACCCAGAAAACCCAAAGTTCAAGGTTGTTCACATGCCCTGCCAGACTCTTTTCGAGAGAACAAGCCCTTAATTTGGACAGGATACGAACACACGAAATGTCAACGTCACAAGTTGACAGGGCCTTGACATTTAAAGCAATTATCTTCACGACAAGGTCACCAGTAACTTTTTAATTCCCAACCAGCCGTCTGCCAGGTTAGGCTTCTATTCTTCGTGCCAGGTGCATCCACTACACTCTTAGAAAACTATTCCGGTATTAAATCATTACTGACCGCAGTACGTATCTATATTATGACTCTGCCCCCACTTCTAGTAACAATGGGCATTACCGTTTAATAGTATCGTGGTAATGACAAAATTACCACAAATTGCTACCAATTCGGTAGGAATTAAGTTATTCCCAAATCAATACCAGTCCGGGGTTAAACTGGTATTAAATCGTTACTGACCAAAGTACATACATACATATGTACATGACTCTACCGGAATGGTAATAATGAGCATTACCATGTCGTGGTAATGATAAACTTATGTCCCAGGTAGAAACAAACTAGTACCAATCCGGTAAAAAGTTAGATTTTTAACAGTGTACGTAGACGTGCACAATGTGAGGAGTGCATATTAAATTTATAGCATAAATTTCTCGGAAATTTATCCTAATATGAACTTTATGCCGGTATACATACTTAAAACTGACTTGCAATGCCACGTAAATGCATAAAATCCTCCGTATTTTTAACCATAATGAAAATAAATTCCCCAAAAATTTTTCCCAAATGTCTTGGGAATTTACTCCCCATAAATTTGGGTGGGAGACAAAGAGAGAATTGGTGTGGATGATGATACCTGCTTGTCCATCATCAAAGTCCATAAATTTTACAGCCATTCCCATCTCCTCCAACCAAATTACCAACTTTCTCTTGGTCTGTCACATCCCAAAACTTTGTGCATTTGTCCAGCCCGCAAGGAATCCAAGAACATGTTCGCATGTGCTTCAAAATGTCACATTTCACTCACTCTTCTTTACTCAAATTCCACTCAAGACCTTCCATTTTCACGGGGATGTTCTGTTACCTTCAGGGTTTTTGCAACATACATTTCTTGCCCTGTGAAGCAAAAGCAATGCAGGAAATGCTAGGTGCACGAAACTGGGAGAAAGTGCAAGAAATATGCGCCATGTAGAAATACGTGCCGTATGAAGTATAGTGACGAGGCGTAGTTTCTTACATTTCTTGCAGGTCAAAATAAATACCTGCTAAAAACCACTTTCTCCCATTCATTTCGTGCAAGTGGTTACTTACTTTCCAGTTTTTCGTTTCTTGTGAGTTTACCACATTTCTTGCACTGCACACTAAATAATGCAAGAAATGTGAGGTGCAAGAAACTGCTAGAAAGTGCAAACATAAGCACCGTCTAGCCACGCCCACGCGCCGTATAAAGTATTTACAGTGACAGTACGTAGTTTCTCGCACCTTGCATTTCTCCCAGGTCAAAACATTCCCTTGCAAAACCCCACTTTCTCCCCCTTATTTCTTGCACCTGGTTACTTCCTTTTTGCATCTGAAACACTGTATTCCGTTACATAACGCAAATGGGGAATGAATTTCTAAGTAAGTACCACACACACACAATCCGTATCAATTCCGTCTACCCGTCCATCCGTCCATCCGTCTGGTGCTTGCTGGCACACAAAGAAAGTGCTCCATCGCCTCGTCAAAGGGAAACTTCTCTCTGTCTCGACACGTTAAAATTCCGACTTAAAAGTAAGGGCATCAAGCAAGTAAGGCTGGAGCTAAATTATTCAGTCGACCAGCCAGATCCATCCGAAAACCCATCGCTCCCAACTTCTCCGACTACTTTTGAAGCGTATCATCCTCCTCCTCCTCCTTTCAAATTACTATTTTACTTTATCGCCACACCGGCCGCGGTGGTGGATACGGCAGAAAAGTCAATTTCCTTCCGAGTAGGCACCAAATTCTGCAGTGATCAAGAAATGCTGGATGCATATTCGCGTAATTTTTTGGACATAATCCCGCAAAAAAATTGCTATCCGTTTGATTCTGAAGAACTGCATGTGCATAATTACATATATAGTTATCTGTACAAATCTCTCTGAATTTCGCTTTTTAGGCCAAATTTCTGCACAAATTCGGGCAAATTTCTGCACAAATTCAGGCAAATTTCTGTACAAGATAGGCCTAAATTTCTGCACAAGATATGATTAAATTTTTGCACAAGATATGATTAAATTTTTGCACGAAATACGGCACAATTTTTACAGAAAGCTGTTTAAATTATTATTCCTCCAAACCAGGCAGCATCAATTTCTCTACCTTAAAACCAATCAGACCCGCTTTTGCAGAAGCAGATTGCCAATTGTACAGACATCAGTAAACATATCGAGACACATGGCCAAGAAAAATGGTCAAAGTCAAAGTATGCAAGCCACTCGTGGGGCCATGATTTTGCGAATAAACTTCTATGCAAAAGGGGGACAAACACCTTCAATTCTGGCAGATTATAAATATACCTTTATCCGACATGGTTTCCGAAAAAAGCGAAAATTTCCTTAAATTATGTACCGTCTTTTAGAACGAGTATATTAACCCCCTCATTTTTGGCGAACACATTTTTCAAGCATGGTTTCCGAAAAAAGGGAATAATTCCTTAAATCATTAATCCTCTTTTTTCCCCGAGATCGCTTAATTTCCCATCGCGAGGGGCAGTTGATTGCATGACTCTAAAAACCCAAGCCGTCCATCAAAGTCTGAAAGTTTCATGGCGCTCGTTATTAATTCTGGGGAACAAATTGGGTCCATCATTTTCATTTTCGACCAGAGACCACTTTCTCCTCCAGTCTGGCTTCTCCTCCCTCGACGCCCATACGCTTTTTACCCCCTCAAATAATAATGAGACCCAATTCCGAGGATCAATTATGGTCATCCCTCAGAATGGCGGTTTCCCAGCGTATGCGATACGATTTTGGGCAAATTTTTACAAAATCGATGGCAAATTTGATTAGTATGAAATTTGCGAAAGACACGATCTCGGAATGGGTACGTTTGGCCTAGATATCTGCATCCGAAGAGGAGAAAATGTGCAGTTAAGTCGACAAATTTTACACTTTCCAAATTTACTGCACGTTTTCTCCTCTTCGGATGCAAATATCTCTGCCAAACGTGCCCATTGCGAGATGACGTCTTTCGCAAATTTCATCCTAACTAAATTTGCCATTGATTTGCACTAATTTGCCCAATGATCAGGGATATTTGGATCCGAAGAGGAGAAAACCCGCAGTAAATTTGGAATGTGTAATATTTGTCGACTTTACTGCGCGTTTTCTCCTCTTCGGATGCAAATATCTCGGCCAAACGTGCCCATTGGCAGATCGTGTCTTTCGCAAATTTCATACTAATTAAATTTGCGATAGATTTTGCAAAAAATTTGCTCAAAATCGGCCAGCATACGCTCGGAGACCGCCATTGTCATGTCACACATACCGCTATCTCTCTCTTGTACCTCAAAATGTAAACAATTAACTCTCATGAAATACTTTCTGTCAATTCGTATTACACAAAATCTGCGTTAAAAAATTCAATTTGCCAATTTTCTTTCCCTGAATTACGTTATGTCGCGAAACTCTCTCTCTCTGAGTAATAAATTGAAAACCACGTGCTTACGTAAGTAAGTAATTCACAAAAGAAGCCATTACATAGATTACAAAACCGATGCACTCTCTCACTATCCATTAGAGATTATCTTGTCACGATTCCTCGCTTATCTAAATCCTTTATCTGACCACAATCACCACAATCACCAGATACATATTTAAACATACATACATAACGGATAATTGTCCATTCGTGTCTGTAACCAAAATCCAACTTTCACAGGGTTTCGTTTCTTGCTAAATACATTTCTTGCACTGGAAAGCAAGCCATGCAAGAAATGCGAGGTGCAAGAAACTGGGAGAAAGTGAAAGAAATATGCGCCATCCGTCATATGAAGTATTTACCGCTGTGGGGCGTCGTTTCTTGCGCCTTGAATTTCTCCCAGGTCAAAATATTCACCTGCAAGAAACCACTTTCTCTCCGTTATTTCTTGCAACTGGTTTTTTCCACTTGAAACAAATTAGAAATTTATGAACGTTCCCAAAATAATTAAGGATAGATTTGGTCACATTTTTTTTTCGTCCTCATATTTTTATGGCCAGTGGATGTGTCCTCTTCTGAGTATGAGCTCTCTCTCAACCCAATTACCAAACTTGGTCACATCAACATAATCGAGTCCTTTCAGCCATAAAATAGAATGTGCAGATCCATCCTTCGCGTCGAGTTGACCAACACGTAATGAACTGCTGTCCACCAGTGGCCGCGGAAGCTGTGGGGACATTAACATTGTCGAATAGCATAGATTATATAACATGGGGAGATGATGCGGACATCAAACAACCGTGGGGACATTGTCCCCTCAAGCTTCCGCG